TTCTTTTTTAAAATTCTACTCCTATTCGTATTAACTTTGTAGTATGTACTTTTTAAAATTAAAAAAATTGGAATGTATTTTTTTTAATGTAAAGAAAATAAAATTATATTAAATAAAAAAAATTTCCGTTCTGTTAAAACAATTTATAATTTAATTATTTTTTTTATCTAATAAATTTTACTTTCTCTTGCATTATTTTTTACCTAATAATTATCTGATTATTAAAATGTAAATAATCTTTTTTATTAAATTATTAAATCAATATATTTCTTTATAATTCAAATTTTGTATATTCCTAAAATGTATATATTAAATTAATTATTATATGTTAGTGTTTTTCAAATTTGGTTCTATTCTCTAATTTAAATTTTCATTTTGCAATATCAAAGGTACCTTAGAATAAGTAAATTATACTTTAAGATTATGTTTGTGTTAAATTTTTTTATCTTTTTTATTGTTCACTTTTTTTGATGTTCATTTCGAAAATTTAAAATATAACCTTTAATTTTTTGCTTCTACCATAAGGTCATTTTTTAATATTAATTGCGTAAAAATTTTTACTTGTTTAATATGTTATAAATTATAAATTTCACATTTTGTCATTCATGAAAAACTTTTTTCTAATAATTGTGAATTTTAGTCCGTCAATCTTGAAAAATTTCTTTATAAACAATATTCTTTACTATATTAGTTTTTCTTTGATCTCCTAAGTATATTTTTAGTGATGACCAAGATCGAACACGAGACAGTGCAACATAAAGTTGTCCGTGGTTAAAAACGTCTCTCCTAAGATCTATTCCAATTTTGTTAAATGTTTGTCCTTGTGACTTGTTAATAGTCATTGCAAACGCTATTTTAATTGGAAATTGTCTGCGTCCAAACTGAAAAGGGTACCGTTCATCACTATATAAAGTTATTCGATTAATAAAAACTATTTGACTATGTTTATCGCCTGTTTAGATTTTACATTTCAATAAATGATTCTTCAATTCTAAGATTTGTAGTCTTGTTCCATTGCATAAACCTTCATTTATGGAAAGATTTCTGATTAACATTACAACTGTATTAACCCTTAATCTTAAGGGGTTACGCCACCCTGAACGCATGAAAATCGGATGGTTTTTTAGAAATTTTTTTGACAAAACTGTTTGAGGTAGGACTTCTTTACATTTATTGATGCTTTAGTACATATATTGAGCTTTATAAATATAAAAAAAATTGTTTTTAATTAAAAATGTCGGAGATATAACTTTTGGTGTGGATCAATTTTTCCGGAGCATTCCTTGATAGTGTACATGATTGGCAGTTCAATTTTTGTCTGAAACAAGTAAAAGAACATTTTTCTTAAAAAGTGATAAATTTTGAACAGAGTGACGAAGACATTTTAAAAAAAAAATTTTTACGCAAATGGAAGCACTTCAAAAATTGACTTCCTTTTTGGCTAAAAGTACCGTATAAAAAATTGGATAAAAAATTTTCAAATTATTCAATAAAAAAAATCCTACGTCACTCTGTGGAAAATCTATTTAGGAAGATGTATATTAATTTTCAAGTCAATCGATTGAATAGTTTTTGAGTTATCGTGTACACTGTCTCGAAAATTGTGGTTTCGAGAAAAACGCAAAAGAAGAAAAAAATAAACTTTAGTGTATTATAACTTGAAAATTTTTCAACTTACTATTTAATCAGCAATTCCTGGGCCATAATATTCTTCTCCAAGAATGGAAGGGATACAATAAAAAGGACCCTTCCTAAATCATGAAAGGGCCCCCTAGACCATTCGACAATAGATAGTCGCTGCTTCCAGCAGCTCTCGGCGCGTCCCCACCGCGCTGACTTCTAATGACCATAACTTTTGTAATTAGTGAGACATTGTCTTCGAAGACATCTCAAAATATTCGTTAGAATATAAACTTTAAAATTAAGCAAAAAAAATCAATTTTTTGAAAATTTCAGGGTGGCGTAACCCCTTAATTCATGTGGTGGTAAATTTGGAGGATTTAATGTCTCTAAATATTCGGGTAATAGAGCTTCACCAATCTCATTATTATCGCAATTTTTTACAGTATTAATACTGGTATAAATTTTTTCTGTCGACACATCTAATAATTCAACAACCGATCTATTAATAGATCAGTCCAGACAATACTGTATTTAATACAGAGTTTTACTAATTCGCTGCGAGTAGCATTTTGTTTAACTGACAGTAGCTGTCGAAAATCGCCTCCAAATATCATTATTTTACCTCCAAATGGTCTATCAATGTTGATTATATCTCTTAAGTTGCGATCTACTAATTGCAAAGCATGTCTTGGAGCCATTGGTGCTTCATCCCCAAAAAAACGTCTACACTTTTTAAATATTTCTGCCTCTTTTGATTGTGCTTTTATAGACAGAGATGAATCGCTATAAATTGCAATGGGTAATTTAAAAGTTCTGTGAACAGTTCTACCATGAGGTAATAATGTAGCCGCAATACCAGTAAAAGCCATAGTACAAACTTTTTTCTTTTTACTTTCGAGTAAATGAATTAAAGTCGTGTAAACAAATGTTTTTCCTGATCCTCCAACTCCATTAATAAAAAAGCATTTTTTTGTTACAATTATCATTTATTTTTTCATCATCAACTGTTTCTAAAACAATATCTACTATTTCTTTTTGTTTCTCATTAAGATTATGATATTGTTTATTGCCAATTGTTTCGTGTTGTTCAAGTAACATCTCATTTTCAATATCATCTTCAGTTTCTATTATTTGTGGCATTGATGGAAAGTATGCAAGGCTAGAATTCTCAGCAATAAGCAATGTATTAATATTAATGTACGCCTTTCTTTGTGCTATATCTATAGACATTGTTCTTGAATAATCTTGAGATAGAGCATCTTTAAACTCTTCCCATATTTCTTCCGGTCTTATCGGTTGACAATGAATTAGAATTTTTACAAATAATTGCCTTAATTGTCTAGGCATCATCCAAACTTTTGCTTCATGCATAGCATTTTTCCACTCATCGTCATCTTCAATTAGTCCCAATGCTAAACACGTGGAAACAAATGAATCATATACCACAGCATCTACTGTTTTTAAATTTTCAAAACTTGGAGCTCCTTTCACTGTTATTAATAATAATCTCAAATGAAATAATTCAATTTGTGACGGGCTTACAGAATACATACGACCTAAAGTGTTAAAATGTTGCTTTCGTTTCTGCCAGGTAAAACTATAAGATAATTTTTTATTTTTTTTGAAATGTATAATGTAATGGCATTTTAGAATAAGTATAATTTCTAGCTGTTGGATCGCGTTGGTTTAAAACGAAATATTCTGTGAGTTCTGTAGAACGTGTCAATGCAGATCTAACTGCATTTTGATCATCTACATTTTCCACTATAACTGTTTGTTGGTTTGGCAAGTGAACTGGAAGTCGGTAAATTGTATGACTTTTTCCTTGCAAATTGTTGCTCAAAATTCGGCCACATGCTTCGGGTGGGCTCACATAACGAGTTTCAATATAATTTTTCATTTCGTCATGCTCAAATATACCTACTTCTTAATTGTCATTGTTTTGTGTTTCTTGAATCACTACAGCCGCAGCATCGTGTCCTTTATAAATGTATTTAAATAGATATTTTACTACTTTAATACTTGTAACTACTTCAACGTTAATGTGGCAATTTAAAAGCAATAGAAGTTCTTTATTGTGAGGTACGACATGTCCATTATCAAATTAAAATCCATCACAACGATTGTAAGTTTCCGTATTTTGTCGCCTGTAATGTGGATAACTGTCCTCATCCATATGCGTTTGATCATTAAATGCTTTAGGATAATTCTTTGAACACTTGCCTTTTTCATCTTAACAACAATCTCCACAAGGACCATGAATCATATTAGCAGCTATAATTTCATGTAACCGTTGATTTTCTGTTGAATTAGGAATCTCAGCTGAAATAAATTTATCTACAATTTCAGGTGTTGTTATTTTAAAATTTCTTTTTATTGAAAATTCATATTTAGTTTCTCGTTTGACTCTAGCCGTTATGAGTAAACGTCCTGTGAGCGTCTGCGCACGCATCTCTTCTTCACTTCGATCCGACGCTTCGACCGTGATAAAAGTTTCTCTCGAGTTCATCTAAAATATAACGACAGTTTAACGATAAATACTTGTGTTGTTATTTAATATATCCAGTCTAAAACTCCTGTCTGCTAACAGGTTATGGGCCCAGTCAACGATTGGTTGAACATGTCGACAATAGTTTTTCTACTTTATCCATTGTGGTTAGTTAAATAAATCGTTCGCTAGATGACACTCTTTTACTAACCTCATTGTTTTTATGATTAAAATAAAAATAAATAAAAAAAGTAAACAACGTTCGAACTTAACAAAAATATATTTAATTAAGGGAAAATTTCCTTTTTAAAGATTAATCTAAACGAATGTTTCAACTTCACGATTTGAATGTGCACATATTAAATTAATTTATTGAATTTACTAAAAGATATCTTATTTATAATTATACCAAACTTTGAATATATATTTAGATTATTTAAATAATTGACGTCGTTAAATAAATTGCTTCTATCGAACGATGGACCGGCTGTTTCGACGAAAGTTTTTACTTTGACGAAAAGTTACGTTTATTTATTTAATACGATATGTAACGAATTACTGAGAAATTCAGAGAATTTAATATGACAGGTATACATATTATTTTTATTTTTCTTTATATTCAAGACACACGAATCCGTTTTTCTGGGTTGTTTCTCTCTGATGGAATTGTGTTCATTCCTGAAGATTGATAACAACTAGATTTATTTTCGTTGCACCTGATAGTAACAGATGTGATGGGATAAATTCGCTTTTATTCATCTGAACATGTGTTCTGTTTTCGATGTTTTTAAAAGCAAACAATTGTTTTCTTAACTTTTGCTTGAAATGACGACTGTTTATTTTTCTTAAATTTTCATTTCGAAATTTTGAAATAAATTTTTTTTAAAAGGCAAACAATCACTCAAAAACGATTGGGATAGCTTGATTATGGAACTCAAGCAAGTGAAAAACAAGTCAAATCCAGAAAACGGCGACGTCGATACGAAAGCAGAAGCCGATTCAAATGAATCCTCGGTCACAGATCCCACCTGTAACGTTGCTGGAGGAGCGACGGGCCAAATCTTATCGGAAAAGGAGGTTGTGTCAGAAATAAATGATCTTATTAACGACATCAAGAAAAATACAGGTGATTAATAAAATTTATAATAAAAAGAAACGACTTGTTTACAATTGTTTATGACTGTGTATATACATAACGAATGGTTTAACGATATTTAAAGACAGTACGACTGTGTTGTCGACAACCTACATTAAAAATGACAGTTTTTACTTATTAAATTTCTTTTATCTGGTAGGTGTGTCACCAGTATTATCAAACAGTGGTCCTGGAAACAACAATGAAGTTGCTCGAGACAGTTCTGGCATTGCAAAACTCTCCTCTTCATATGATCCGAATCATTCCATGACAGCTACAAACAACAATCACGACAAAGACCGTAACGATAATTTTTCTGACAAAGAATGTAATAATAATACGACTGATAAAGAAAATAGTAACAACGACAGTTTTGACAAAGATAAGAATAGTAAGAAAAACGACAGTAATTTTAGCAAAGACGATAAAGAGAATAGTAAGAATGAAAAATCTAACGACGGTGATTTACTTTCTAAAAATGACGGTTTGACAAAAGACGACGAAGAGAATGCTGTTGGCTTCAGCAAAAACTTAAAACGACAGTTGAACGGTGACGTGAATTCGAGATGTGTTGAATTTAAAAAACTCGAGAATCGGATTGATAATAAAATTGCTCAATTAGAACAAGTTATGGACTCCACCTTATCAATGCATAGTAAAATGCAAGAGAGCATGAAGCAATGGTTCGAACGATGCAATTCTGACAATCAGGTAAAAAGACCTAAAATTTCAAACGATATTATAATGCCTAAAAATTTTAAATTAATAACTGTTCCCAATTTAGATATTAGTTTACCGGTTATTAATAAACAATCAATAAACGACCCTAATTCGACAGTTACAAAAAACTTCGCGACATCAAATAATAATAATTTTCTAAACGATTCTCACCTCCTCGCGAATCATGTTAAAGAAGCAATTAAAATCGAATTAATTGGTAAAGAAAGCGGAATTAAACACGATTACAAATTAAATTCACAATTAAAGTTTGAACATTTTTACGAATTTTTAGCATCGGAATTAGGAACGACAGATCTACTTTATGTAATAGACACGACAGTTATTCCTCCGGATGGATTAAACGATAAGTTAAAAGAAAAACATAAATTTAGAGTTCGAGATATTTTTATAAATCGTGTCGATAAAAATTATCTTACAAGAATTTTACATATTAAAGATCCGGTTGAAATTATTAACAAATTAAGAGAACTTAAGCACTGTGAAGTAAATTTAACGAGTGTAACTGTACGAAAACAACTATATTCAATCCAATTCGACGCGAAACGAGAATCAGCTGCGAAATTTTTAGACTGTTTTCAAGAGATTATTTTAAATTACGAAAATATTCAAGGTTCAACTTTATTATTAGACGAAGAAAAACGCGATGCTCTGTTTAATGCTATTATTAATCAATTACCCGAAGTACAATCAATCGATTTCATGACTAAAAACCAAACTGGTAAAAACTTAAATTATGAAACTCTAAAATTGTTTATTATTCAGGCAGAAGCAAACTGCTTACAAGTTGCGAACAAGAACCATCCTGGTTCAAAACCTACTGCGATGGCCTCAGTTCAGTTCGCTAATTCAAATCACCGAAAATGGGCCAACGAACGATGCTTTGAATGTGACGATATGGGTCACATGCAGATCGAGTGTCCTCTGAAGGGTTAGGGTCTACGAAAGTGCTACGAATGTCAAAAATTTACGACCCACAAAGCATACGAGTGTTCTCAACGACTGTCAAAAACCAGAGGTCTCACAAGTAAGTATTCCTTTAATTCAAACGAAACATCAAAATTCACTCCACATGACAAAATAAGACGACAGTTTAAATTTCAACCAAACCGGGGCAAAAAGCATTCAAAATTTTATAGACAGACTTTCGATAACAACAAATATTATTTTAAAAAGAACAATGACAGTCAATCCCAAAAACGATTTACTAACAAAAAGAACAGTTCACAATTTCAACAAAGACAAACACGAACGGGTACGAGTGAAACACCAAAAATAGGGTTCATGGAATTACAAGAGAATAAACCAAGTAAGTTACATAAAATTACATCTCAAGTAACATCCTTGTCAATGTCTGATTCTGTTTCCACCAGCGAAACCGAAAAGTTTTCGCCAGTTTATCTTTATAGTCTTTCAAAGAGCCATAAATTCGAAAAAGAAAATCATAATTATGTCTCTTTCATCTTAGACACAGGCGCGACAGAACATATTACGAACTTCCAAAATATTTTCGATAGATTAGATAAAACTAAATTAAACATCATTAATTGTGCCAATAAAAATAGTAAAGCCGACCTAATCGCGGAAGGTAAAGGAAATATTAATTTGATTTCAAACAATAACAAATGTTTGGAATTAACGAATGTAATCTATACAGATTCAGTTTCTGAAAATTTGTTGTCACTTCGACGATTGGCAGAAGCAGGCTACTCTACTCATTTAGACGACAAGTATGTTAAAATTTTTGATTTACAAACAGATGATTTACTTGCATCAGGTATTTATGAGAAACCTTATTGGTTTCTAGAATTTCAAATTGATAGGAAGAGTTTATATAAAAAATCAGTATTTTCAAATACAACTATACTAGAGACGAATGTAATTAACGAAATCCCTAAAGCAAATAACGAAATGATTGATCCAGATATAATTATAAATAACGAAAGTACAAATGACACTTTGAATTCGACTAAAAACGACTTGACGAATTACCTGAAGTAGATGTTTTAGACGAATTTACTCCTTTTTATGATAACACTTATAACGAGTTTGTAAAACAGAATAAAGCCATGCTTTGGCATGTACGAATGGGCCATGCGTCGGTTGGCTACTTGAAAAAATTACAAACATTATGGAAACAAAATAAAGACCTTCAGTCAGTAGTATTCGATGACAGTATTCTAAGCTGCGAAATATGCGCTCTTACGAAGCTAAATAAACTTCCTTTTCAAAATCAAAGAAATAGAGCTACACGACCATTACAGATCATTCACACAGATGTTATGGGCAAAATTTCTCCGCCTACACATCCTCATAGTTACCAATATATTGTTGTTTTTATTGATGACTTTTCACGACTTGCTTTAGCCTACCCTATGAAAACGAAAGACGAGACAGGTTTATGTTTAGAAAAATTTATCAAAAGTGCGCGAAATTTACTTGGAACTAACGAAAAAGTTTGCTATTTACGTTCAGATCAAGGAACTGAATTTATGGGTGGTTATACGAATGAAGTATTGATACGAGAGGGTATAGAACGACAGTGTGTCAATCCTGATACTCCTCAGCACAATGGAGTCTCAGAACGATTTAACCAGACGATACAAAAGAAAATTAGATCTATTATTTTTGACTCAAAACTTCCACCAAATATGTGGGATTTAGCGTTAGGAACAGCGATTTACGTGTAATTGATTTCGAAACTCCTTTAAAAATATTTGCACCAAATTTCCACTTTCACTTAAATCAGATAAAACGATTCGGTTGCTTAGCATATTGGTCAATAACGAGAAAACCCGACTCAAAATTTTCGGCAAGAGCTGTACGAGGTGTCCTTGTAGGTTACACTCCATCTGGTTACATCTTTCTCAATCCAGAAACCGGAAAATTCTTTGAATCACGAAATGTTCGTTTTAACGAGAAAATTGTCTATGGTGACAAATATAACAAAGATTCGATAAAAAATTGGCCACTTCCGGAAACAGGATTATCACTAAACGATTGGTTTATCAAATTCGAAAGTAGTGACGAAACAAATGTTACAGAAAATAAAAGTACACTCGTAGAAACGGAGGGAGATAAAATAAAGAAACGCGGAAGACCCAAAAAAAGATCATTAGAAACGGAGGGAGAAGAATCAAACGAAATTGCAACAAAATCAAAAATAATCAAAGTTACGAGAGAACCTTACGAAACGCGTAGTCGGAAAATATCCGATATTAGCTTTGCTGAGATTTCTAAATTCACGAATGTTTCGAATAGTTACATTTTTCCGAGTGTAGATGACGAGTTTATTAGAACAAAAAATAAAACAGACGATGAAATTCTTTTTTGCCTTCATGCTGAAATTAATAATGATCCGTTTACGTTTAAACAAGCGATAGAATCTCAAGAAAAAGACCAGTGGTTAGAAGCGATTGACGACGAATTGGTTTCTCTAAGTAAAAATAAAGTCTGGTCAATAGTAAATCGTCCCAAACTTAGTAAGAATGGTAAAAAGGCAAATATCATTGATTCGAGGTGGGTTTTTAAACGAAAGTATGATAATCCTGATAAAATTAAATTTAAAGCTAGGTTAGTAATCAGAGGTTTTAAAGATACAAACTCCTACGATTTGAAAGAAACTTATGCACCAGTTTCTAGATTGACTTTAGTACGAACAGTTCTTGCAATAATTAACTATTACGATTTGGAAGCGTGTCAATTGGACGTAAATCTGCCTTTTTGAACGGAATTCTGGAAGACGAAATTTACATGGAAATTCCAGAGGGTGTAGAAATTTCTCAAAATTTACGACAAACCAAAGTTTGTAAACTTCATAAAGCAATTTATGGTTTACGAGTTAGTCCAAAACAGTGGAACAAAAAGTTCTCTGAAGTTGCCCTTTCTTTAGGTTTGATTAACGATGATTACGAGCCTTGCTTATTCACTTGGCATTCTGGCAATTCGACAGTTATACTTTTGATTTATGTTGACGATATTCTATTAGCAAGTAATGACAGTACGAAAATGTTAGAAATTAAAGACAAACTGATGACTTCCTTTGAAATGACCGACTTAGGCGAACCTAAACATTATTTGGGTATGAATATTGAAAGACAAAGACATTCGAAAACAATGATTATTAATCAAGGAAGTTATATAGAAAAAATCCTAACGAAATTTGGTTTTGAGAATGAATTTCCGAAAAACACTCCCATGACTACACGACAGTTTGCAAATCGAGAACGAAAGGAACGAGAACAAGATGATAGTTACGAAATTTGCGAAAAATCTCTTTATATTCCATACAGAGAAACGATTGGTAGCCTTTTGTACCTATCTGGAGCAACACGTCTAGATATAGCTTACGCTGTAAATGTGTTGAGTAGACATCAAATTGATCCATCCGAAAATGAGTGGAATATGGTCAAACGAGTTTTTCAGTACTTAAAAGGAACAAAGGATTTAGGTCTTAAATTTATAGGCAGACGAAATGATTTTTTAGCTTATTCAGACGCTAGTTTTGCGGATTGTAAATCCTCTGTTTCAACTTATGGTTTTGTTATACGACTGTTTGGAGACACAATTGCTTGGAAAGCGAATAAACAAACATATGTTGCGTTATCCACGTGTGAAGCCGAATATGTGGCTATGAGTCAAGCTTGTCAGGAAATAATAGCGACAAACAAATCCTTGATGAGAATTTCTAAAGAAAGTTTTCTTCCGGCGACGCGTAGATGCGACAATAAAGCTGCAACAATTTGTGCTAAAACGAATGGTGGAAATAGGTTAAGACATATGACGGATGTTCATCAAGACTATGTTAAAGAATGTGTAAAATACGACCGTGTAGTTATTGAATGGGTCTCGACTAAGAAGCAATTAGCAGATATAATGACGAAGCCTCTTAGTTTCGAGGTACATACTCAACTACGAGACAAAATCCTTAACAACGACAGTTTCTAAATCAACAAATTGCTTTACCCTATATGACATTGTTTTCTTTGAATCAAATATTAAACACATTTATGATTTATGCTCTTGATTTATAGTTGAAGGGGTTAACGATTAGAGGTGATTCCATTCTACATCTCCGATTGACGACTGGATGATATTTCACAATGACAGTGCCATTGTTAGCCAAAGATGTCTTACCTAAAGTATTCCAGTTTCTCGAAGAAAAATGTGATCTCAATAAACTCAGGAATTATTTAAACTTATATTTTATATCGTTTGACGTTTTATTATCTAATTATTAGTATTTAAGTTTTCTTTCATATAAATAATATTTAACGAGTCAATCTCGGGAGGGAGTATTGAAAATTCATATTTAGTTTCTCGTTTGACTCTAGCCGTTATGAGTAAACGTCCTGTGAGCGTCTGCGCACGCATCTCTTCTTCACTTCGATCCGACGCTTCGACCGTGATAAAAGTTTCTCTCGAATTCGTCTAAAATATAACGACAGTTTAACGATAAATACTTGTGTTGTTATTTAATATATCCCGTCTAAAACTCCTGTCTGCTAACACTTTTCAAAGTAAATAACATGTGAACATGTGGTAATCCGCGTTTTTGATATTCAACGACATAAACGTAAGCTTTGACTTCACCAAATAATTTTTGTTTGACTATTATCTTAATGAGTTCTTCCTTTCTCAATTCAAAAACGCGAGCCACTAAATCAGGCCTGTCGGAAGCAGTTTGGCCATCTTACAAATTTTCAGTTATTTCTCCCCACTTTGGATTGCACGTCATCGTAATAAATAAATCAGGTTTACCAAAATTTCGTACTATGGTCATTGCATCCTGATAATTTTGTAACATATTACGCGGTGATCCAAGATAAGTGGACGGAAGAATAACAACTATTCCAACGCGGCTGTTTGTATCTTCTGCAGTTTTTTCTAAATGCTGTAAGAGACTTTCATATGTATCAGCTCTTAATTGTTTTTGATTGTATCTTTTTAACAAAAAAAATTCACAAAGTCAGCGAAGAAAATCAACCGATGCGTATTTATCAAACAACACCAACAAAACTTCTACTCCTTTGAAGGTATTTATTATTTTTATTAATATATATATTATTATTTAATTTCTAAATACTTTTTTTTAAAGAGAAAATATTTTATTTAAAAAAAATATTATAAAATTTTTAAATGATTGTTATAAAAAAATTATAATAATAATTATTATTTTAAAAAAACTTTAATTTTTTGTAGGTTTTGAAATGCGACGGTGTAACTCATCAAAAGGAAAGTGGTGGCAGAGAACGTGATGAAGACATCACCTTCGATTTGAGTTTATCAAACTTCGACTTGAGTTTATAAAATTTGTTTTACAGTGTTTCTACAAAAACAAAAAGGTATTTTCTTTCCAAACCGTAAAGTATTTTTTTAAAAAAATGACTTACCTATATAATTATTAATAATATTTGTTAAAACAATTTATTATCTTTTTAAAAAGCAAAAAATATGACACTGTTAAGTGTTATTAATTTTTTAATATTTAATCATTATTATATATTTTGCTTTCTGCGATTGTTCAAAACAATCTACTCTTTTTTTTGAAAAAAATATGACAGTGTTTAAGTGTAAAAAATTTAATATAAAATATTTTTAAAAAATTGTTTTTCTTTTTGCAATTTTTTTAATATTGCCTTTAAGGGCATGTGAACCATGTGAAGTCACAGCTTTAGAAGAAAAAATTCTTTGTACAAAATGTGACGTCATAACAGTTCAAATGACCTTAAATAATATAATAATTTTTTTTACTATTAACTTTTAAGTAATAATATATTTTTAATAAATAATATTGAAGAATTTTATATTATATATTAAAATAATATTATTATATTTGAAGATCAATATTAAAAAGTTTTATTATTATATTTGAAGGTTAATATTAAAATATTTAAAATTAATATATATTAAGATTAAACAAAACTATTATTTTAATTAAAATTAAAAGCAAAAAAAGAGAAGTCTGATTATTTTTTTTTAAGAAAGAAAAGATTAAAGAGAAAAAATAAAAGACTTACCAGAAGTATTTTTCTAAAAAAAATTATTATTTCTCACGCAACACATTTAAGTGTTGGTATTTTTGTATTATTTTTATATAATAATATATATATAAAATTGTTGACGAAAACAAAAATGTAATATCACACTCGAATCTTGATTTAACGAGTCTCGATATAACGAGTTCTTGATATAACGAGCTGTCAACTCTCGTTATAACGAGAAACATTTCTCCTCTTTTCCCCCCACCATTTCAAAACAAAAGCGAGTGTGAATAGAAATTTGTGAAAAATTATCAAAAAGGGCTGCCACCTAGGCCGGCTAAACTCCAAAATTGATAAATTTTTATAGTTATTTTCGTAACAAGGGCGCAATCACCTTTGCGCCCATGATGCGAACATAATTTTTTGTCCTAACTGCATGGAAAGTATGGCATTGAGGGCACGCACGATTAAACTCTCATATGAGTTAAAAATTAAGCTCTATATAAACATTATATTGAATGAAGTCTATAATGATAGAAGTTTTAAAATAGAAATAAAAAACAATGTATTCTGGAAACATAGTATTTATTTAGAACGTAGTAGTTAATAATTGAACAAAACTGAAACAGGAACTTTTAAAATTGACAATTTTGATAAACGAAATGGGAACAAAACCAAATATCTCATTATTTTTTTTAGAGAAAATAAAAAAAAAAATTGCAAATTTTTATAGACAAAATAAAACAAGTTGAAAATGTTTGCAGTTTTATAGTCAACATAAAAAGAAAGTCGACAATGTCGCATTTTAATGAAGAAAATCAAATAATTAACAAGTGGGCGCAAAATACTTTTCCGCCCGCTTCTCCCACTCCCGGGCGTAATGTGTTACTTTGCGCCCGCCTTAAGTGCCCGAAATGACATACTTTCCGTGCAGGTAGGACAAAAAAAATATTTTATGATTTTACCCTTAAAACAGTTTTTGTGAATTGCGATTTTTTTCTTTATGATGGTAGTTGTGACATCACCATAATATTACTTTCTGATGAAGAATTGAATTTGCGATACGTTATTGGACAATTTAGTTACTAGACAAATCAGATGGTTATAGTTTCTAAACACAAAAGAAAGAAATCACCTGATTGGTCCAGTCCAATATTTTATTGTCATAAGACTGAACCCTGCTCATTAGGGCTTTACGCATGCGTTAGCTGTCACTTCCCTTTAAAAATGTAGCCTAAATAGACTGATATATGTATTATTAATTTAAATTAGTGTTTTCTATTAATAATTTTAATTAAACAGTTTGTGATAAATTATTTAGTTCTATTTTCTGAAATATATATTGTTTAAAAAAGGTAAGTAATTCAATCATAGTTTGTACTTATTATTACGCGAATTTCAGTAACGTATCTAACCTATAAAAATAAGTATAAATTAGAATTTAATTTTATTAATCAATTTGAATCTCTTAATTTTTAATTCAGCTAATATATAAAACTGTTTTCTATGATATGAATGCTACTCTTTCAGGTAAGATTTATCTTATAGAAATATAAATAACTGTTGAGATGTCGACGCCAAAGAAAACTACTTCTGACCGGAAAATAAATTGTCTCTTCAAAGAGGAATGGTTGACAGATTCACTTTTTAAAGACTGGATAGCCGCAGATAACGACAAAATTTATGCAAAATGTCTTGTTTGCAAAGATTGCCCAAAAATATGTGTTAAATATGATGGCAAAAAGGCAATAAGCAGGCATGCAGAAACAAAGGATCATGTGACTGCATCGAATAGCCAAAAAACTTCTAAATCGCTAACAGTTTTCTTTCCAAAGAAAGAGAGTAAATTAGAAAATAAAATAATTTCAGTCGAATTAGCAAAAATCTATCATACTGTAAGACATGGGTTAAGTTACTTATCTGCAGATTGTGGTAATTAGTTTTAAATTAGTCAATAAAAATTATTAAATAAATAGAATTTATTTGTACATACAATTAACACTTAACTAACAACAATTTTTAAAGTTTTAACACAGTTTTTATTTGATGAAAGAAAAAAACTAATTAGAAATGTCAATATAACAAAATTTGCAGAAATAACACAATTCAAATTAATTCAAAGTTACAAAAGTCATGAGAAAAATGAGTCATAAGCAAGATTTCGAGCTTTAGTAAATGTCAATTGCTCTTCATCTGTAAAATTATTATTATTTTGAGTCCATTTATGTACTAACTAAGCAGCTTTAAAAACATCATGCATATTTAAGGATTCAGATTCAGCAGGTTCATCGAATTTCTCATCATTTTCAAAATCGTTTTCTTCTAATTCTCTTTCTACTGACAAATTTAGCTCTGCATGCTTGTTTAAGAGCTGTTCATCGTTAATTATTTCAAAAGTTGCTAGATTTTGTTCTTCTTCTAACTAATTATTCACTTCTGATGAAGAACATATTACTCCTCCAGGAATACGATTTATTAAGTTAATCAGTTCGTTATTCGATGAATTTATATTTTCGTTTACTAATTCACCACTTTCTGGACTAGATTTCGGAATAATCTTATTCCATGCGTTTCGAAGAGTTTTTGGACTTAGAGAAATCCGAGCTTCTTTAAGAACGTTCATGCTATCTAAAATAGTCCACTTTTCAACTGACTCAACAACTTCGTTATTGGTACTATGATCATTTAACAATATTTCCCTTAAAAATGCTGTCTTGTAATGCCGTTTTAGAGCTGAAATAACGCCTTGATCCATTGGCTGGTTTAAACTGGTGACATTTGGAGGAAGATACATAATCATGCACTTGTCGTCGATATCATTTAATTTTTCTGCCGATGAATGTGTGGGAGCGTTATCCAGTAGAAGAAGAATGCTAAAAATAAGAAATGCGTCAATAAACTGTAAAAAATAAATAATACTAGAATTTTTCATTTAAAATATCAATTACCTAGCGTTAGGTTTCAAGTCTCTAACACTTGTTAAGAAAATCGTTTGAAACCAGTTAAGAAATATTTTAGAATCCATCCACGCCTTTTTTGACCTTGATAATGTAAAGGTAACGGCTCGTTTGTTTTAAAACACCTTGGTTTTACTGATTTACCAATTACTAAGGGAGGAATTCGATGACATCCAGTTGCATTAGCACATACCATCACTGTAAAGCGATCCTTTACTAGTTTATGGCTTGATACTTCTCTCTCATTCGCTAGAACCAATGTTTTTTCCGGTAATGACCTGTATTGAAGTCCTGTTTCATCGGCATTATAAACATTTTCCAATTCATAATTATTGTCAATTATTGTCATGACAAAATTTTCTAAATTCTGAAACAAAGTTTTCACTGGCTTCTGCATTTGCTGAAGCTTTTTCTCCTTTCGCTTAAAGAGTCCTAAGACTATATCTTTGTTTGAAATTATCGAGCCACCCATCGCTAGCTTTAAAATAACTTTGATCTGCAGGAATTTGCCCGTTTTCTTTTATCTTCTCATAAAAAAATTTAGCTTTTTCGTGTAAAAGTATTCCCGAAACTGTTTCTCCAATTAATCTTTTCTGACATTACCACGCATAAACTGTTTCTTCCAAATTTTTAAATACACAATCTTTAATATGTTTCCATTTTCTATTTTCACTAATTTCTTTAAATTTTTTATAATAAATTTCTGTTTTCTCCTTATTTTTTAGAATTGTAGAAACCGTGGAACTGCTAATTTTATATTCTTCACAGATTTTATAATTTTTTACACCTTTATCCAATTTTTGCAGTATTTCAATTTTTTCTCAATCGTAAGTGAGTTTCACGTACTTTTCTGTAAATAATTAAATATCATCAATATTATCACTTGTAACTCACAGAATATAGTTCTAAATTTACAATTAATATTCATTGATTCATTAATTATTTAATATTTATTAATTTCAAATTATTGAATGACTCACTAAAAATAAAAAATTTTCAACATTTATTGATAAAGTTTATCAAACACTAGAATAAAATTTATTATTTTAAAAAGTTTTAAAAAACTTAATTCTAAGGTTATTTAAACAATAATAAACAAATATAACAAGTTGAGAAATCCAGAATTTTTTGACATTCAAAATAAAAAATTAATATTAAAAAGAATTGTTTTTTTATAAATTATATAGTTTATTTGATATTGTAAAATTAATTACGTTTCAAACTTACTGTATTAGTAGCTGCCTCCATGATTCAAAAATTTGTAAGCATTTGACAGTTCATCTTAAATTTGAAACACATTCGCGCTAAACATTTGCGCATCGTTATGCACATGACATTAATTGCAGTTACTTACCTTCACACAAATAAATTTCCTAGAAGTGGGAGCCCCTCACGCAGTCGTAATATCGAGATTTTCTGATCCCTCCTCACTTCACGTTTAATCAAGATTCGAGTGTATACAAATTTCTATTATTTTCACAAAATAATAAGAAAATAAAATTCTTTTTGAATTAAAATTTTTTAGAATTTATATTTTTTTAAATAATTATTTAATATTTTATCACTATAATAAAACAAATTTTTTACCAAATTTTTATAAATAAAAAAATTGGTAAATTTAATTTTTTGTGAAAATTTTTTTGATATTTGTGTTATTCAATAAAAAGATTATTTATAGGAGTGTAACTTTCATAAAATTTTTAATTAACTATTTTTCAAAGTACAATTTTTTTCCTATAAAAATATAAATATAATTAATAAATTATATATTAAAAACTTTAATAATTATTTTAAAAAAAAATAAATTATATATTTTTTAAAAAAATGTTATTAATTTGTTTTTCACACACAACGAATTTGAAATTGTTAAATTTTTTCAATTTAAAAATCTTAAAAATTAATTATGAATAATTTATTGTTAAATAAAAAAAATTATTTCTTTGCTTTTTCGAAAAAATATTTAAAAATAATATAATTGATATTTTGCAGATAAATTTTTCTGTTTATTCTGTTTAAGTGATTGATATTTTAAAAAAATAATAAATATTTTAATATTTTAACTCAAACTTAAAATTAATTTTTAATTCTTATAATGAATTTTATTAGGAGAAAATTTTTCTTAAAATTTTCTTTTAAATATTATAAAAATTATTATTAACAATTGAATTTTTTTGTAAAAAATGTTATTCTTTTTAATAAAAAAAAATTGAAAATTAATTTTTAATGTTTGTAATGAATTTTATAAAGAGAAAATTTTTCTTTAAATTTTCTTTTAAATATTATAAAAATTATTATTAACAATTGAATTTTTTGTAAAAAATGATATTTTTTTAAATAAAAAAAATATATTTTTGTTTGTTTATATATTTTATATATACATTAGTTATTTATACATTTGATTTAATAATAATAATTATAATATTGTAATATCTACCTATATTACAAAAAGATATCGCCGCCGCCGCTGTTTTAAGATTCTGTAAGGGCGTCCTACCCAAAGGGGAAGTCAAAACTTATGTCAAAATTAACCTATTTTTTACCTATAGGTCAAAAAGAGGATAAATAACGGCCTCACATTACGTCAAAATCTATGTCTAATTTGACCTATTTTTTGACCTGTAGGTCAAAAAGAGGATAAATAACGGCCTCACATTACGTTATTATAGGTCAATTTTGAGGGCAGTTTTGACCCAGACGTAAAAATTTGACAAAGAATTCCCGCTACCCTCAAAATTTAGGTCAATTTTGAGGGCAGTTTTGACCTACACATCAAAAATTGCCAAACAATTTTCACAACCCTCAAAATTTAGGTCAATTTTGAGGGCAGTTTTGACCTACACATCAAAATTTGACAAAGAATTCCCGCTACCCTCAAAATTTAGGTCAAGTTTGAGGGCAGCTTTGACATAGACGTCAAAATTTGTCAAACAATTTCCGCGCGCAGACTTAATGATGAGGTGAGGTTTGGCATCTGACCTAACAATGTAAGGTAATTTTAAAATTGTGTTTGCTCTTACACCTATCATTTTGACGTTATTTTGACGTTTTATTTTTACTCCCTCATTTAGTTACGTCATAATCTATGTGTAATTTGACTTTTATTTAACTACAACTTAAAAAGGTACAATAAAGGACAATAAACGTATCTATGATACGTCAAAATCTATGTAAAATTTGACGCCTTTTTAACCTATAGGTTAAAAAGGGTCAAAATATATGTCAAAGTTTAATCTAATTTTTGACATATAGATAAAAAAGGTCTATAACGATTGTTACATTACGTCAAAATCTATGTGTATTTTGTCATGTATTGTATGCAATTTATTAAGATGCATTGATATTAAGAAAAAATTACTTTAAATTTATAAAAATTAAAATAAATATAAAAATAGAGATAGGGGGTTATATATATATATATATATATATAATTAAATTTAAATATTGTTCATGTTGTTTTTTAAATATTCTTTTAGTATTCTAATTTAACATTTTAATAATTTTAACAAAAAAAAATACTTTTTTTCTTATAAAATACATTAGTTTCAAAAAAGCGCGCGCTATTTTTGCCAGGGCCAATCTGGTGATCTGTTTAACTAAAGGCCAATCATGTGATTGCTTTAACAGAAATAAGAGGTTATATGCCACATGACATAATAATCCTTTTTAAATTGCATTATTAAGTGCAATTTTAACAACAAAGATTGTACAAAATTATACTTTTTAAGAAAGAAAAAATAAATGCGTTGTAATGAACAATTTTACATATAATTTTATATGCTTTTAAAGCTAAAAAACTTTTTAAGGATTCGACTTTTTTTCGAGAGCCATTCGAGATATTTCGATTCTTTTCATGAGGTGCATTTTTTAAGAAAGGACTATCTTTGTTTAAAAGAATGTTACGATAAACTTCAGTTTGCTCAACTGTAAGAAAATTTTCGTTTTTTTTACAAACGACAAAAGTTGATTTATTTATTTTATTTATTTTATTTTTTTTATTTTTATTTATTTCTGGTCCCTCGAATATATTCTGTGTTTGTTAAATGATTACACGTGGAAGAAGAAGGAAGATTCAGATCACTAAGAATTTTGTTTCCAAAGTGGAGAGTTATTTCTCGTATTGATGCCATAAGAACCGAATTAAAAATCACTATAAACGTTTATACCATATACTGTAATGGAACCCATACTTTAATTTGTTTCGTCGAATCCTATTAAAAATTTTTAATTTTATAAAATTAATTATGAGATTTATTCAATTAAATTTACTACAGTTTTAATCAGCATGTTTAATTTTCAAAAATTGAAAATTTTTCCAGTAGTAGGAAATTTAAAAATGACAATAAAATAAATCATGTATGTATCGGTCTGTCCGAAATATTTTGTCCTGTAAAAACCCAAAGACTGATTAAAAAGAAACTTGACAGTCTCTTAGGTATTAGTCTATCTTAAAATCTTAGCCATTTCCGATTGAAAAATATTTAACAAAAGTTATAACTATTTTTAAAAAATATGAAAAATTAAAAAAATGCATATTTTTTAATTTTTGAAGGATTAGTGTAACACTTTGTAGCTTAATTTTTTAAATAAATATTTTTTAGATAAATTGTTATTATCAAAAGAATATTAATAATAAAAATTCAATAAAAAAATCAGTATTAAAAATAAAAATCTGAATCAGAGATGGACATAAAAATCACATCAACAAAGTTTACTAAAATACAAATTAAATAAATCTTTACTGAATTAAAATATAATAAATTCTCTTACCGGAATTAAATAAATTATTTATAAATAGCACACAGACAAATTAATACTTAAATTATAATTGAAATTTTAACTAAATCAAAAATAAAATATTTTCTTCGGAGGTTGGCGACAAAAGAATGAATGAAAGACAAATCTTCGTTGCTTATTTAGTTGTCACCTTAGAAACGATCTTCATTTTTCTATTTCTTCAACAAAATCAAAACATCCAAAAATAATCAGAAACTTCAAAAAGCATTACATAATAGAACTGATCACTCAAAATTTTATTTCGTAAATATTCGGATAAATCTTCAAATAGAACAAAGTTTAAATGGAAATATTAACTTACAAGTTTAGTAAGTTCAGTAAATTAATATAAATACTTTTGTCTTTATTTTGATATTATATTTAATATAAAATTGAAGATTTTATTAAATTAAAAGTCTATTAAACGTAAATATAATCAAATTAAATTTATTTATATTGAAAATTTTTATCAAATGTAATTGAAAGTCCTGAATAAAGAAACCGGTTATAACATTTTTAAAACAAAAATTATTGTCCAATAAATCAAAAATTAAATATTTTTAAGTTACAATTTTTTGAAAAACATGTTTGTAATCATCATACAAATACGAAATCCGTACAAGAAATTAGAATTTTCATTTATTTTAATTAAGAAGGGAAAAATTTTAAGTCTCAAAAATTGTAACCTGTTTTTGGATCGGGACCCTCAATTTATTAGAATTTTGAACTTTGTCCATTGGAATTAATATTATCACTAAAAACAAAATAAAAATAGTAAAAATACTCACGACTGTAAAAATGCTTCGATTTTTGGAAAAATAATGCTTCTACTTTTTCTGTGAAGTATTTTTTTAAATTTTTGCTCCACCTTGTTTGGTAATTCCCACGCCAATGCTGCTGTCATTCCCAAAACTAAGTCACCTTCTCTGCCATAAGCTCCAATTGTCAAACAATAAACCAGCTGGAAAATTAAAGTTTCGAAAATATATGTCTGGTAAAAATAATGTTTAAGAATAATTTTAATCTGATGTTATGTTTCATTACAACATTATTTATCTAACTTAAAAACATAAAGAAAGAAAAAAAATTTTTATTAATTTTTATTTCGTTACATGAATAATAAAGAAAATTATATTACCTGAACATTACTTCCTCGAGGAAATATCAAATACCGTTTTTGTCTCGATAATGATCTTGATGCATTCAATTCATTTTCATTAAATTCTTCCGAATTAATTAAAGGAAACGTGTAAAATTTGAAAACTGTTAAAAACCAAATAACTATAATACTAATTCTGCTGGAATAACATGTTGTTTTGTAAAGTCTGTCAATCAGAATAATTATTCTAAAGTAAACTAAAATTATTTAATTTACCTGTGTTTATTATTTGTATACAAATTTAATTTCGAAATTTCCATTTCTGAAACTAAAAAATTATTTATTTATGGATGAGCACTTTTACAAAATAACTGCAGAGCATACGAAGAATTCAGGAAGACTAGGAAGTTTGTAGAGATTTTATAACGGGGATTGGCCACATATTTTACTTTTCATCACATGTTGACATTGACTTCATAATTGTTTCAATAAATATGTATAACATCTCTATGGTTTTCTATATTTATTTGCCAAGTCATTCTGAGAATTCATAATAATTTAAACTAATTTTTCCAATTTCATTTGAAAATGCACCACTGGTGAAGTGCTTCATCAGCGTTGTCAACAACGGGGTGATATTGAATGTCAGTACGAGTACAATTACAAGACATAACGTAGGCATGTAGACAATTTCCTATTCTGACAGATAGTACATATTCGGATGTTTGCACTTAAACAGTCGGTTTGAAACATAGTAAATAAATGTTTTTTAAGATAATGTATGTATATTGTATACTATATTAAATATTATATTTAATTTTAATGTTTCTAGATATCTTAACGTTTAAATGAACAAAATTTTATTTCTAAAAATATTTCCAGAAATTGCTTACTCTAATAAGAAGTAAAAAAGTAAATTTTAAATTTATTAAATAAATAAAATATATTTTAATAGGTAGGGGAGACCGGGGTTAAGTCAGTCGTAGGGTAAATCCAGTCACTAGCAATTTGACGCTATGAACTCAACTTAATGGTGTTCCGCAGTGATCGCCTTTTTAAAAACGGCTGCTCAAATGTATACTTGATTTGAAAATGATTTTTCTTCCAATTCGGGTTTGTTTGATTTCAAAAGCATTTAATTTAATTTATTCTGAAACGTGCTCTCTAAATCTGAATTAGTGCGGATTCGTTTACCAATTTGAATTAGTAACATTTTTTACTAATTTTTAGTAGTTTTTTACTAATTGCAAGTAGAAAATTATTAATTCAATTAGTAGAACGTATTTTTTACTATTTCAAATTAGTAAATTTTCTGCTAACGATTAGTAAAAACAGTTACTAATTCAATTAGTAAACGAATCCGCACTATTTCATTAGTAGAAAACTACTAATTCAGATTTAGAGAGTGAGGAATACATTCAGGGTAAAGTCGGTCACGTGAAGTCAGGGTAAAGTTTATCACTTACTTTAAATATCAAATTTAGAATAAAATAATTTTACCTATTATATTTTAACAATAATAAAATTTTTAACTTGTTAAATACAAAATTGTATGTAACTACATTTCTTTTTCTCTTAATATAATGAAACATTATTTAAATCCATAGTTGTAATTCTTGAAACCTATATTTATTATTTATTAAACCAATATTTATCTTTTGTAGAACTCATAATTTATCAATAATAAATAATACTTAAGAGGGGAATAAAACGAATTTTACTATTAAAAAAATAAAACTGTTCGATCTTGAAAAAATCAAGTGACCGGATTTACCCCGGACCCCCTATAAAAATAAAAGATTATTTATTTTATCTTTTGTAAAAATCACTAAAAAAGTAGGGGAGAGGGCCCCAAGATGGACATTTCCTATAAAATTTTTGTTTAAAGTGACAGCATCTTCTCAATTTTTTTATTTTTGTTGTTTGTATAGACGAAAATTTTTATGCATATTTAAAAAATAAAACCAGTTTTTTTTCTACTGCGCATATCACCTGAATTTTTTGTCAAAAAAAGTTTTATTTCCGATTTTTCTCAAGTCGATAAAGTTATTTAAATTTTTGATTTTAGATAGGTATTTATCGTTATAATATTATTTATTTATCATATAATAATATTCTAAAATGATTTTATTATTATTTTGTTTGTATACAATTTTTTTCTGGGTTTCAAAAAATGGTGTCATTTACCCTAATAAATTTAATTTATTAGGGTAATTTTTAATAATTTTTTTAATAATTTTGTAAGCCTCGTAATTGAGATTTTTTATTTTTACACCGCCATGGAATGTAGAGCTATCGTTAGAGAATTCGATATATCGATATATCTTAACCTGTCAAATTAAAGTTAAATATGTTATTTTTTTTTTATTCTCAAGTTATAAAATTAAGATTTTTAATAATGTTATTCCTAGTAAATAGAATAAAATTATTAAACATTAGTTTAAAAATTAATACAGGATGTTTATCTTTAATTTACCACACTTTAAAGTGATTTTTAAGAAGGTGTCCATCTTGGGGCCACTTTTTTTTTGGTCAAAAATTTTAACAATCAGAAAAAATGCTATAAAAAATGTTTAAGTTCAAAATAAAATTTTATCTCAGTGGCCATAAGTTACCTAATAAATTGTACTTTCATTTAGTATAAAACATTTTAACATATCTTATTCGGTTTGGATTTTAGAGCCATCAATCGAAGAGATGTCCATCTTGGGGCCCTCTCCCCTATTATTTTAATTTACATGTGCATATAATAACAAAACGGTCCAGACCATCTTTTCTAGGTTGACTAATATTTTCTAGAATTCATCTAGTTATTCTGTAAAGTATTTATACTTTTCCAACTGTCTAACAACTAGTTGCCTGAAGGGTTACAAATGACAATAGACACAATATAGAAAACTTTCTAGAAACAATAATGAATCATATAGTACCTAGAAACTTCCATGACAAATTTTCACACAGGAGGTAATAAGTTGTAAAGTTGCGTCAAAAATTAGATTAGATTTTAACCTACCTTCAAAGTCTATACTTCATAATAGAAAGAACTATCGTAATCTTAATAACTATGTTTCAGTCAATAAAGTTGTTATAAAATGACATCTATTTTTCCAAAATTCGATTAAAATTGAACATTTAAATAAATTAAAATAAATTAAAAATTTTAAAATACATTTAAAAAATTTTAAAAATTATTCTTATTGCTTGAAAGAGAACAAATTTTTAAAAACTGATTTGTTACGGTCCGAGAAAGGTTAAGGGTAGTTTTCATTAAATGGTTAATTAAATAGAGATGAGTAGCTGATTAGTCAAGTTGATAAGTCTTGACGTTTATTTTTGTGTGGATTAGTGTCAATTTATAAGAATTAAGGGTTCTTGTTAAATAAGTAATGCATATTCCCTGTTAAATAATGGATTTTTATTCAATGTTGTTATTGTTTATTGTTAAACAGGTTGATGATGGAGGTTTTTAAAAAATTTTCAGTTCGTTAGCTTAACAACACGACTATTAATCTTTATCACGTACAGTTAATTCATAATTTTTAGAATATATAAGACCTATACAATTACACCTTCACAATATATAAGACCTAAAATGTTGGAGAAATTAGTTTCCTGCTTATGGTAGTTTACTTTAAGTGATAACAAATGGGGATTATTGCTGCAGCAGTTTAGCAGTGACAATATCATTTATGAAGATAGACTTTTTAGATGTAACTTTTCTAAGATTTATTTTTGTGATTTTAGTTAATTGAGTTGCACGAATAAAATTCTTGTAAAGCGATTTTCAATGCAGAATTCAGTGATGAAGACGATGTTGTAAATGGAATTGCAATATTTTTAATATTACGGGTTTTGTGAATGTTTTTTTAAAAAAGTACTCTTGGGGTTAGTCAGCCAACGCTAAATTGTTCGTCTTTTTGTGTTGATTCTATTAGTTTTTTTAAATGTTTTTCCTTTTTTCCTACTCTAATTTAATCCTACTCTAACAAGGACAACTACCTTGTTATGTTTCACTAATTTTAACTTAAAGTTAACCGACAGATTAGCTTAGTCGGATAGATGCCTCGCTTGGCGGTCGTTTAAGGACCAAGGTTAACTACCCTTGGTTCGCGCCCATTTGGCTTGGTATTTTTCCGGCACGTGAGATAATCTGAGCGGGAGGTTTGACGTCGAGGTATAATGATGTGCACTGTCGATTATTGTCCGGTACACACCACTAAAACTCGACTGTCGATAAACCGGTTGTACTCAGGAGAGGTTTTCTACAGTTTCCCTCTCTACTGGCGAGAAAACCCATTAGACGGGTGGTCCAGGCAAATGCGAGTACTTCTAATTTTCAAGTCGCTCTGTAGGCGCAAAATTTAGTATTTAAGTTTGTCAGGGAAAATTTGTAAGAGAAATTTACGAAAAATGTAAAAACACTTGTATAGCCAAGTATGTAAGGCTAAAGACAGGTGTATAAACCAATAAAACTTAAAGTTATGTTTTTTAACTATATTAAAACAGTTGGCCGCCTCACTCCACGTTTTTGAAAATATGCCAAAAACGTGGTCCTTTGGAAAAACGGTTGTAGAAATTTTAAAGTGCAACTTACGTCAAAATGTTCAATGTTGATAGATTACTTTATCAAAACTATTATTTAAAAACAAAATTTTAAACAAATTTCAAGAAATATTGTGCAAGACAGAATGCCAAGTCACAACACATACATGGGATGCAACATGATTATTTATATTTTCTATCTTTAGAATATATTTGTAAAATTTATTTGCAAAATACAATATGTAATTGAATCAATATGAAAAAAGTAAAAACATGAGTTTTGTAAGCGATGTCCCTTAGTATGTGTATATTTATATATTTCGAAAATGTTCGCGCGCAGTTAGAGTGTTCTTAACATATTTATTCAGCAGATGTAGGTGTACGGCCTCACTATTCGCCAGTGGTGAATGTATCCGTTATGTAGTCATAAATTGTAAAGGGACAGCGGGAGTAAATTGTTTCACAATCGCCCTCAAAGCCCACTTGCTCTGCCCTGACGTACTCAATGGGTAGACCCTCGTCACTGGTAGAAGATGGCCTGAAATTACACACCTTCATAAACATCGATCACTCACTCAAGTCTAATTGATGTGTTAAACTCATCAGCATATACCAGACGGACGGTAATTCAATTAGTTAACCAATAAATTTGCATATATAGACACTATCGTACACACATAAATGAGTTCTCCCTAGTCTATTATTTCGATTCTCACTGACTCCTCTGTATATTTGCGCGGTCGTTTTAATATCCGTTTTCATATTCTACCTTTTCTGCGTCAAATGTATAAAAGGCCATCTATCAGAAAATATCAACAGTATTCTTCAATAGCTTTTAACGTTTATAAGTATTATTCTCATGTTTCCTACTAATTTACTGGTTCTTTTTAGTTACTACCTTCTTTTACATTCTGTAACAACTTCTGTTATCGAAATAAGATTAATATTGGGGCCGGGAAAAAATGTAGAAATCTGACGTGTATTGAAATTACAGAGGGTAATGGATAACAATGACTTGGGTAGCTGATTAAATGACGGTCACTTTTTTGAAAAATTCATCGGGTTTGTGTGAATCAAGTTATTTTGGGGTGTTTCGGTGTCGTTAAATTCGAATTCAATGTCCATTAAACTCTTTCTCTTTAGGATTCATCCATATCCGCTGTACATAGCGAGGAGATTGCATAATAGAATTTGGATGTCATGTAGCTCTTAAAAGGGCTGATTAGTAATACCAATGACAACGGTAAATTGTTTTGTTGCATAAACGTGAAAATATGGACACTTGGATTTTTTGAGGATATGGTTGAATCTTTAAGTAATGGAGATGAATGGGCTTCGGATTCAGTTCCACCTTTCCCAAAAACCAACGAATAACGATTTGTAAGCTAATGCAGGGGGTCAATTATGTTAGTTGATTTGACTTTGAAAGGCATTCAATTTTTTTCGTCAGCCACGAGGAGAAAAATGTCAAAATAATACGAATTGTTATTAAAAAACTACATGTCTGACGAAAAAAATTGAACGCTGGTCAAAGTCAAATCAATTTACATAATTGAGCTCCAGTTTATTATTTGAAAAAGTGTCCATTGTATTAGATTCTCCATTTTCAATTTTCTGAAACGAAAATTAAATTCGCAATTTGCGACCCTAAAAACTCCCAAGGTCACCAGTCTGAATCAAATCCGATGAAATTTTCATAAAAATTTTCTCCATTTTGAATTTTTATGGTTCTGTTATCCATATTTTAAATAGTTCTTTGAGTTAATTGGTTGCCGGCACTGTGGTGTCATTAGTGAGTTTTAAAAGTATAAGTTGGTAGTCATGTGTGGACGAGAGAATCAGAAGGTCTAAGATAGACTAGCAAGCGAGACGTCGCGCAAAAAGAAGTATCTGTAAAGCAGAAGGGCAATCGTGCCGTAATTTGTAACAGTAATCGTAATTGTTGTTGAGTGTGAATTGCGAGAATAGAGACCAAGTTGGGTCGTAATCGAGGACTTTAAAGTGAACGTTGTATAGTATCGGTTAACCAAATTCTTAAGTGTATATCAAAACTGAGCACAAGCCACCTTTGTTGTCAATAAATATTAATTCCTATATTACTATTCTTACACACGAGGCTTTTAATTAAAACAAAACCATCCTAACAATTCAGAAGTGGGATACGGTGGATGCGGTTATGTGAATTCTTTGTGGATGTGGATTATTATTGAATTGTGCGAACATGTGCTCGTGGAAAAAGAAAAATGGCCGTCGCGAAAAAGGTCTTTCTTTCGGCGACTGCTAAGAAAGTGTTACTGTGTTGTTCTGAAGTTCTGTTGATAATAGTGACGTATGCCATCTAGTGGTAAGAAGAAGAACTTCTTAGAAGTGTACAGTACCTGTCAAAATGTCACAACAACAACAACAACTTGCTGCCAATGCTCTTGTCGAATTATCTTTATCAGACCAATTGCCACCGGGAGCAATTCGCAGAGAAGACGGAACTGTGGTATTTCTAAATGGAGAATCTATTATTCCGGAAGGCCCCAATACTAGACCAGGACAGGGAAGTAACGGAGGCCCGTTACAAAATAGTGTTGTTTCTCCGGGAGTGGTAGATCAATCGCAATTATTGTTGGCATTGACTACTATTTTGCAGCAAAATGCAACATTAATAGATAGAGTAACTCAGAGCCGAGATCAACAGACACATCATTACAATGTATTACCGGATTTGTCCCACAATATCGTCAATTTTAATGGAATCTCGGGTGCAGCTAGTGCGAGAGTGTGGATTAAGCAATTGGAATCGACGGCAACATTGCATAAATGGACAGAAACGGTTGCTTTCGAAACCGCCCGTAGTCACCTAGAAGGTGCTGCCAAAAACTGGTATTTGGCCAATATCGATGAAATCAGAGACTGGAAATCATTCAGAAAAGCATTCTCGAATACTTTTTTATTAGAAAAATCACTTACCGAGAGATTTCAAGAAATGCAAGCTAGAATTCAACAACAGCAGGAAAATACCACGGAATATTTTTTTGACAAGTTGCGACTATGCAAAGCATTGGGATTTACGTTGGATGAAATAAAGAAGCAAGTCGCTATAGGACTACGATCACGAGATTTGAGTGTAGCTGTCATGAGCAAAAATCATGTGGATGTAGACGACTTACTACGTAACATAATCGAATTTGAATCATTGGATACGGCAAGAAGACAGTTGGCTGATTCGTCGAGAGATCAACGTCGAGCACCAGAGAGTCAACGCAGAATTGGATCGAACTTACCACGACAGTCTTCCTATGTTCCTGAGCATCGTGGAGCAATTCCAAAATCATCAGGTAACGTCAAACAAGAGGAATCCAGCAATATTGTTTATTCGAATGAGGTAAGCTCTGAAAGAAGTTGTTATCGATGTGGTAAAAAAGGTCATTTCGCGAAAAATTGTTTACAAAAACCGATTAGAAATTGCTTTAATTGTTCGGAACCCGGTCATTTGGCTAAGGATTGCCTAAAGCCAAAAAGAATGATGAAGGCTGAAACTAATATTATTTCGGAAATTGAAAGTGTAGAGACGATTAATAAATATATCAAAAATGTAAAAATTGGCGGGAATGAAATATTAGCTTTTATCGATCCAGGCAGTTCAGATAGTATAATGAAGGAATCCGTTGTTGAAAAATTCGAATTTTGTTTTAATAAACAAGAGAATGAAATTGAAGGTTTTGGTGGGGGAAAAGCATACTCAAAGGGAATAACTAGACAAGACGTGAAAGTCGATAATTGTGAAATTAAAAATGTACTTTTCAGAGTTGTGAATGATATGGCACTGCGTTATGATGTCATTATCGGCAGAAATTATACTGAATTACCAGAATTAGCTTTTTATCGTTACGGAGACAAATTTGAAATTATTTCTAGTGAAAATTTTCCCTTTTCTCATTTTCCTGAATTACCAGTGTCAGGAAAACCTGTGGTGAAAGAATCAATATGGTTACCACCTGCGTCTATTAGTTTTATTCAAGTGAAAATCAGCGATTCGAATGAAATTTTACCTGTCAAAAATTATAGTAGCGACGTGATCAAACTTGATAAAGGTTATGTTTTTAATCAAAAAGTGACAGTTTCGGAAGTTAGAGAAATGAAACCGCGAAGAGAACCGATTACAGAGAATGAAGTAGTAGATATATTAGAATTATCGAAAGAAAGAAAATTAGAATTGCTCGAGTTGTTAAATAGATATAGAATGTGTATAGCCCTTAATCTGTCAGAACTAGGTTGCACACACTTAATTCAAATGGACATTATAGAAAAGCCAGGGACGCAGCCACCTTATTCGAAACCGTATATTACAAATACTGAGAAGCGAGAAAAAATAAAATCAAAGGTTGCAGAATGGAAACAAAATAAACTGGCAAAAGAAACTGTAGCTGCTTATGCCAGTCCATGTTTACTCGTTGAAAATCCAGATGGTTCTACACGCGTTGTAGTAGATTATCGAAAAGTTAATAAAAATACAATTCGCATGAATTTTCCTTTACCAAATGTAGACGATGGGTTGGACGCGTTATTCGGGGCTAAAATTTTTGCGGTTCTAGATTGCGCACAAGGATATCTGCAGATTCCCTTAACTGAGTCGGCTAAAGAGAAAACGGCGTTCATAACGCAAGATGAAACAGGGCAATTTGAAAGGGCGATGTTTGGCCTAATGAACGCGCCCTTTTATTTCGCTAAACTCATGAAAATGATTTTTGGACCGTATGGGAATCAGCTAGCTATAACGTACTTTGACGATATTCTCGTTCACGCAGTATCGTGGGAAGAACTTATGTTAAAAATCGAAAAAATTCTAATTTTGTTGCGAGACGCGGGACTAACCTTGAATATAAAAAAGTGCAAATTTGGTCTTGACCAGGTAGAATATCTAGGATATTCGTTCGGAAAGAACGGTATGAGCCCGGGAGACAAAAAGATACGCGCGATTCTCGAATTTCCGACACCCACCGATGTTCATACTGCACGAAGTTTCCATGGGTTGGCAAGTTTCTTCAGGCGATTCGTGCCCGGATTCGCAACGATAGCAGCCCCCATTGTAGAATTGTTTAAAAAGGACGAAGTTTTTCTGTGGAATGAACGACGTAATAACGCATTTCAAGAGCTTAAATTGAAACTTGGGTCACAACCGGTTGTAGGATATTACAATCCACAGGCAGTTAGGACGGAACTACATACCGATGCTTCGTCGTTAGGTTTAGGTGCGATGCTACTACAGGGAGATAAGAGCAATGAGTTAAAATTAATATACGCTATCAGTAGACGCACTTCGGAAACTGAAAGACACTATCATTCGTCTAAATTAGAACTAATGGCTATAGTCTGGTCGATGATTCGACTTCATCGATTTTTGATAGGAATAAAATTTCACGTGATAACCGATTGTCAGGCCCTAGTGCACATTGATTCTTGTAAAACAAATAACCCTCAGATAGTTAGATGGTTAAACTTAATTTCCGAGTATGACTTTGAAATTCATCACCGTTCGGGTGAGAAAATGAATCATGTAGACGCGCTGTCACGTGCACCAGTGGAAGAAGCGAACGATAATTTGATAATGGCTACGAATTTTAATATTTCTGTACGCGAGGACGAAATCATGATGTATCAAAGATGTGATGAATTGCTTGAAAGAAAGATTAAAATTTTAGAAAAAGTCGAGAATACAAGAACGCGTCGAGAGAAGGGGGAAGTGGTCGATTATGTTCTGAGAGATGGTATATTATTTAAGAAAGACCCACGAATTACGGAAAAAGAATTGTACGTTGTTCCGAGAGCGATGCGCAAAGCGCTCGTGATTAAAAATCACGATTTATCAAGTCATTTCGGTGTTGACCGCACGATAGCTAGAATAAGTGAGCATTATTATTTTGCACGAATGCGAAATTATGTGCGCAGGCATATCAATGCATGTGTGGAATGTTTATTTGCGAAACGTAAACACGGGAAGCAGGCAGGGGAATTGCACCCTATTCCTGCAGGAAAGAGACCTTTCGAAATCGTGCACATAGATCACCTCGGACCATTTGTAACATCGTCTAGAAAGAACAAATACATTCTCGCGTTAAACTGTAATTTAACAAAATTTTGTCAATTATACGCAGTTAAAGATACTAAATCTAGCACGACGGTAAGAAAAGTTGAGGAGTTTGTCCATCGTTTCGGAGCGCCGAATCGAATAGTAACGGATCGTGGGACAAGTTTTACCGCCGAGAATTTTAAACACTTTTGTGAGTCTCATGGGATTAAATTGACGCTTAATTCAAGTCGACATGCACAGGCAAACGGTCAAATCGAGAGACTGAATCAAACCATTTTGCCTGCATTACAATCCAGTATAACGGATACTGAAGGTCGTTATTGGGACGAAAATGTCCGCAAATTAGAGCGTGATTTAAATACAGCTGTATGTAAAACAACAGGGCGTACTCCGTTCGAAGCTCTTTACGGATATGTACCTCGATTTAATGAAGGGCTCGCACGAGAATTATCTGAGAGATCGGAAACGTATTGTCCGCCGGAAGATGTTCGGGATGAAATTTGTGATAAGATTGAGCGTGAAAAATTGATGTGGAAAGAGCGATATGATAAATCCCGATTATTAAATGTGAAATTTCAGTTAGGTGATATTGTTGCCGTACGATCTTCGAAAGTCGCTAGTGGAGAATCAACCAAGTTGCAAGCCAGGTATAAAGGACCTTTAGTTATAACGCAAATTCTTCCTTCCGATACATACAGAGTCCAGAGTCTTGCTGCTAAAGGTGATTCGAAACGAGCGACTACAGCTCACGTCAGCCAAATTAAAATCTGGAGTGCCTTTAATAGTGTAAGTGATGATGAGAGTAGTTCCGATGAGTCAGATCCAAATGTAAGTGAGCAATCGATGAATGTTAATGATAATGTGCTCGAAAACATTGTAAGCGACGAATCGAACTTAAGAAGTAAGCGTATCATTCGAAAACCTCGACGATTGATTGAAGAGTAAAGTACGTATGAGTAATAATTACATTGTTGTGAATGAAACATATTTTTATTGCAGCTTGGAGGACCAAGCTTAAACAAGGATGGCCGATTGTTATCCATATTTTAAATAGTTCTTTGAGTTAATTGGTTGCCGGCACTGTGGTGTCATTAGTGAGTTTTAAAAGTATAAGTTGGTAGTCATGTGTGGACGAGAGAATCAGAAGGTCTAAGATAGACTAGCAAGCGAGACGTCGCGCAAAAAGAAGTATCTGTAAAGCAGAAGGGCAATCGTGCCGTAATTTGTAACAGTAATCGTAATTGTTGTTGAGTGTGAATTGCGAGAATAGAGACCAAGTTGGGTCGTAATCGAGGACTTTAAAGTGAACGTTGTATAGTATCGGTTAACCAAATTCTTAAGTGTATATCAAAACTGAGCACAAGCCACCTTTGTTGTCAATAAATATTAATTCCTATATTACTATTCTTACACACGAGGCTTTTAATTAAAACAAAACCATCCTAACAGTTCCGTACACCGTAGGTGTACCGACAGAACCCTATTGGTTCGTGTCCCTCCCTAGCAAGTGTACTATTTGACCTAGAGAACTAAAATTTGGTACATATATGTATTTTCTCGTGTAGATTATAGGAAAAATATAGCGAATGTGAGTGAAGGTGACAGTCATACTGTTGACAAGGAATTTGTACGATTTTTGGCCAATAATGCATAAAAAGTGACCATTCCCCCTTTAACTTCTTGACTATTCAAGATGGAGAACTAAAATTTGATATACTGGTGTATTTCAACGCGAATTTTACAGGAAAAATGGAGAGAAGTCGCTATCTATATAATAATGTCAATAGCGTTGTCAACAAAAAACTAAAAAAAATTTGAAGAAACATTTTTTCCCCTAACTTCTACGTTTGAATAAAGTTTAACCCAAAAGTTCTGGCACATCCAAAACCATAAATATGTATGTTGCCAAGACAAAAGATGTTAAACTATGTTAAACCCCGTTTAAACTTTAACTTTTAGGTGGCACGGGTTAATATTGATCGATTGGGCTGTCCTTGTGCGTAGCTCATTTTTTTACATTCTAAAACAAATTCAGCCCGGCAACCTTAGAAATTCCAACTTTCGCAAAATAACGGTCACCCTACAGGACAGAAATGAATTCATTAAGGACAAAATACGTATTTTGTAGCGAAAAAGCTTTTGGTAAACTAAACTTTTTGTGAAACATGTAGAATAACCTAGAAAATATTTTTAAAAAATAAAATAATTTGAGTTCTCCTTCATCGATTATTTTCGTTTATGTCTTAAAATCATTGTGAGACATCACAGAAAAAATACCAATAAAGAACTGCCAACTTTCAGAACTTTTGTGTTAAACTTGGTTCAAACTCACTGTGTAAAGATAATATAAAGATGAAATCTTATGCATTAAATTAAGTCTTACGTTAACGTGATATGCAACAAATCACCGATGAGTCCATTGTTTTCATATATATTCTGTTGTGAAGTTTCACAAATGCACCTTAAGAGACAATGCTTACCAGGAAATCCTAATCTGTAATGCAGAAAAGCAATCGATTAAAATGTGTCTCACTAGGGTAATGAAAAAAAATTATCAAAGAAAAAATAATATTATTTTTAAAAATATAGAGAAGAGTGAGGCAAAGCGGCTATACTAAGGATATTGCATTGTAGTGATCAATGAAATTTTATTCAATGTTAGGTTGTTTGACAAATTTTCTATTTACGCATCTTTTTCCAAAAACAACTATAGAAAAGGTGATCCGGTTTCGTTACTACAATCTTTTAAAAAAACTCTCAAAGTGAGCGGTTTGCCCCACTCTTTGAGGAAAAACTGTTATACTTAGTTTTTGCGCTTCTTATGGCGCATTAATATATTTTTCATTAACAAATTTCAAGAAAAGAGATATAAAGGGTCAAAATATGTTTAAATTTTGATTTTTTACACTTTTAAATAACAACAGTGTATATTTTTTTATATTTAGCTTCTGCTTATTTCAGATTTTTTGCAAGAAATGGGAGCGTCATATAGGTACAATGTATAAGAAATCGAATCTATAAAAATTATCTGAATTTTCTAAATGCGTATTCTATAACGTGTCTCAGTGCATTCGAATTGTTAAAATTAATGGAAACTAACAATAAAATGCTGTTCAACTTATTACGAAAAAATCGGGGATTACAGTATTATTAAAATAATATCAATATATAATATATAATATATTTATATTATTATTCTATGCGTAACACGCAATCTAGGTCAATTATCCAATTTCTCGCCGTTTTTTATTTTAAATTACGTACAGGAAAATCAAATAAACTTCTTGCCTCTATATTAAATATAGAAAATGAGCAAATAGTTTCTGATTATTTTTCGAGTGTAATTAAATCTTTTGAAAAATATATTTTGCCATCTAGATTTGGCATAACGTTAATTGATCGAAATAACGTTATTAAAAACCATACAACTGACATTGCCTATTCAGGACAAAAAAGTTCTCCTGTGCTCGCCTTTTACTGCATGCACAACCGATAGGTTTCTCATAGACATGCTTGTGTCCTATATTGCTAATGCAAATGATGCGGAGATAATGAGAATTATTATTGATGATCCAAACGATTTATGTATGTTTCTTAAACCCAGTGACCTTTTTATAGTTGACCGTCGTTTTAGAGAAGTTTAGAACTATTTAGAAGATAATAATTTTTAAGTTCTGATGTCAGCCTTGAAAGAAAATCGTTCACGGTATTCTTAAGCAGAAATATCGATCTTTAGATCAGAAAATTGATAATAAGTTGTTGCCAGAAATGTGAATCTTTTTAAAATTGTAGTGTTTACAAATAATAAGTTTGACAAAATACTGCAATCTGACGCAGAATTAGCAGATGTTATTTTAACAAGAGTGCACTGTCAAAATAATGTGCAACATACTTTATCCATAAAAGAAGAAGAAGAGAAATGATGGTACCGCCAAAAAACTCTTCTAAAACCTATTACATCTGATGAAATTCCAAGTTTTCCGGCAATGACAAAGAGTGATTTAATTTCTTTCTTTACTCGATCCTATCAGTTTTCACAGACAGTGTCCTATGTAGCGGAAATGGTTAATGATGACGATAAAATAAATATGGAGTTGAAATCTTAGATGACTCCACAAGTAAGTCAGGATCTGACAGCGATTGAAGCCAGAGCCAGAGAGAGGATATGAGGACAAACACATCGAGGTCAGGTTGAAGATCTAAATAGATCAAAACACTAGAAGACTGGGACCTAAATTTTTTTTTGAGATAATTACAATAACGAAGGATTTTTAGACCGGTTAGAGGACTGCAAATCTTGTTCAGATTTCTCTGATCGAGAAATCATACAAGCATTGCCCTTTATCCTCCAGAAAAACGCCAGTAGTTGGTTTAGGTCGTTAGGCAGGAGGTATATTCATGATGATCGTTCCAGAGGGCATTCAAAAATAAGTATCTGCTGACGGTCGACGATGACAATGTGATAGACAAACTAAGGGCCACAACACAGGGTAAAGGAAAGAAAATATCACTAAACCTGGCCATCTTTAGGTTAATCTTGGGTCACATGAAACTACCTTTAAGACAGAAACAAGTGTATAAATAAAAATTTATTGATTGAATGTTTAAGAAAAATTTGAAATGAAAGTTTTTTTCTTGAAATGAAAGAAATCGTTTATGAAAATAAGTATGAGCATATTTCCCAATTTTTTTGTTTTCAAACAACTATTAGTGATGTTTAAAACAAAAAAAATAAAACTATAGTTTATATTATTCAAGATAATAATAGTTATATATCGTTCATAGCACACAGAATACTGACGACTTGAACTTGGACTCCAATACAGCGTAGATCGTTTTGCGATTTATGAAATATCGTTGACCTGCAGATCGTTTTTTCTGATTTTTCTTTGTTACTTTGGATTGAAATTCCGTGTTGTTACTGCGTAATTGATAATTTGCCTCGAAGAAGAACGCAACGGAAATCGCTTTCGTCGAAACAGGGTCGTCCAAGGGAATAGCAAGTGCAAAAAATAGCTACAACACACACAAAATTTTGGAATGTGATCAATAATTTTTAGTATAAAAATATTTTAATAGTATTAAAAATTTCTGACCCATAAGCATAGAACGTTCAAGGTACTAACAGACAGCGCAACTTGGCCTTCTGGAAACCTCTTTTTCAAAACGTTATAAAATTAATATGAGTTTAGTTAAAAACAAAGTTAAATATATGGTTGAATATGAAATTTTACAGACTTTTTAAAGGAGGTAAAGAATAGAAGAAATTAGAAGAAGGTTTTAAAAAAATTATAAAGAGAAAAGATGGCATAAAGTGATTAAATCAAAGTATAACAACTGGTAAATATGATAATGAAAATTTTTATCAAACATTTTTTTGTGAATTTTTGTTCTATTATTCTTATAAATTTTTTATTTCTCTAAATAAAACATTATTTTACAAATAAACTGATATTGTGAATAGCATGTATTATTTAAATTTATTATTGCTTCCTCATGGAGGAAGTATTATAATATTAAAGTTTTTTAAGTTCGATTTTTTGACATAGGTATCTTTATGATATTTGACCTTAGGAGTTCAAAACCGACATTTTAAACAATGTCATTCCGCATGTGTGTGTAAGCATGACATTTTCATAAATATCTGGAGATCATGTAGAGCTTTTGGGATAATTTTTTTTTAAATTTGTAGGTCTCACGTGCTAACATAAAATGAGAGTACTTTGCGATAGATTTCACAGGACCACAACATTTTTTTAAAGGAAGTATTGACCGTACCATGTTTTTTATATGTTTTTTGGGTCGCTGAATTCAAATCCGAACTCAGTTTTCCGCCATCACGTCAAGTTTCTTCACAAATTAATAAAATTCGCAAAAAACTAACTGTAAACAAGATATTAATTAAAATAAGCAGAAGAATCTATTAAAAAACAACTTTAACGCACTTGAAAAATATTATATAATGTTAAACAATTAAAAAACTCGTAAATATTCAAAATTTAAGATGACGGATCCAATATGGCGTCAATTTTTTTTAAATTCACCCAATTCACATGAAACTTGTTACTCGGGGGTTTTCAGGGTTGCTAAATACGAATTTCAACTTAGTTTTCAAAAATTCAAAATGGCGAATGCAATATGGCTGACCAATTTTTAAAAAATTTATTAGATTTACCTGAAACGTTATACTCGGGGGTTTTTGGGGTCGCTGAATATGAATTTCACCTTAGTTTTCAAAAATTTAAAATCTGCTAAATTTTTAAAAAATTCGTTAGCTATATTGGATACGCCATTTTGGATTTTTTAAAACTAAGGTAAAATTCGTATTCAGCGATCCCAAAAATCTCCGAGTAACAAATTTCAAGTAAATCTGATAAATTTTTAATAAATTCGACATCTATATTGGATCCGCCTTTTTGAAGAAACTTGACGTGATGGCGGAAAACTGAGTTCGGATACGAATTCAGCGACCCAGAAAAACATATAAAAAACATTGTCCGGTAAATACTTCCTTTAAAAAGAATTTTGTGGTCCTGTGTTATTAAAGTTTAACTATATTTTTTTGGAATTTTAATTTTGCAAAAAAAGGTTTTTGCCTATAACTTTAAAAAAAAGTTAGGACACCTATTAATGTTTTTCTCTTATTTTGTAGAGTTTTTTAGACGCATTTTTTAGCCATAATTGAACATTTTTCGTCCATATTAACCGAAGATATTAAACTTTTAAAAATCTAAAATTTTGGAAAACATGACTTTTTGGAAATTTGGTTGGAAAATGTAAAAGTAACTTTAAACTTATCATCACCATCTTGTAGAGCATAAAGAAACGCTTCGATTGACCTATTTTTGAACCTAATTCAATCATAAATTTCGAAATTATTGGTATTTTAAAAACCAAAAATTATGGAAAATGTCATTTTCTTAACTTTTTGGTTTGAAAACTTTTCTTTAACTATTAAACTGTTTAAGTATCTTCTGGGGTATTAATAAATACATTGATTTATTCAAAATTTAATAATTTTTACCATATTTATAAGTTATGCATATATATTTCTATTATTATTATTATCTTTGAGGAAGCAAAGTGTTAATGAAATGAGCACCAAAATTATAACAAAAATGTTCAACTTGGCAGCGGTTTTTCAATTATTATTATTATCTATATGAGGAAGCAAAGTGTTCATGAAAGGAGCACCAAAATTATAACAAAAATATAGAACTTGGCAGCGGTTTTTTACTAATTTAAAGTTCGACATATTAGATCAGTCATTTTAAATTATTGAAAACTGACTTCCGATCCATAATCATCAATTCAAAAAACATCTCAATACTAGATTTTAAAAAAATTCACTAATTTTTATAATTTAATGTTTGCGTTATTCGATCTACGATTTTGAATGTTTACAAACTGATTGTAAATTCGTAATCAGAAACCTAAATACTCCTAAGTAACAATTTTTTTCAAAATGCATTGAAGAAAATTTTTTTGTCCAGCTAAAATCGAGTTTTTAACCATTGTGTGATGTGTAAATTACTCGTACAAATAATTTTTCTGCTTCTAGGATGAAGTGTAAATTATAAAATTTGTAAAATATCGATACCTATTGATGCCAAAAATACATATCGAAAAATAAATTTCTTATCAAGATACAAAAGAGTGCCCCGCGGCAAATTCTAATTATTTTTCGACACTAAAGTATGTGATAGAGTGTAAATGTATGTGCGATAAAATTTCATATTATACATCAAACGTGTTATTAAATTAACTGACCCCCATTTCGCTCTCATCCGGAAAGGACAAAGCTCTGATATTCCGGTGCACCGCATTCGCAAACGAACTTTTCAAAACATCTGCTCTGGAGGACATTAAAGTTGCCATTATCAGTTTTATTAAAAGCAGCTTCATCCTGTAACAATATATATATGTATGTAGAAAATAAAGCAACATTATACAATTTATCAAACCATAAAATATTGCATTTCAACTCCAACAATATCTCGTAGGTATAATTATAATTTACTGCATTTCGATGAAAAAAATTAAATAACTATAATTACTTTTCAGCATTTTGAAGTACAAAAAATTAAACGAAAAAATGTTTGTTTGAAAGAAGCTTATTATTCTTCTTTTACCGAAAAAAGTATACAGTGTCCTCTCTGAACTGGATATACCACGATATTATGAAAACAGACTGTCGATATTCTAAGGATATTGAACGAAGATTTCATTTTTTGGAGTAAATGCACACTTCCGATTTTTTGTATTTAGATTCCTTATCTTCTCAGAATTTAAAAAAAAATTCATGGAGACTTTAAAACTAACCGAAATATTGAGTTTTTTGTCCTGCAGTGCATATACTTGCACTAACGCGAATGCGTCACATCTGAGTGGTTAATTCTTCATACCCTCTAAGCAAAAGGATATCCCAGGGATATCCTAGAGATATCCCGCGGGATATTGAGATATCCCAGGGAGATCCCTGGGATATTTGTGACATCTCACTCTCTAAATTTGAATCAGCGAAAAGTCGCTGATTCACCAGCCCAGAGTATGCAGCTGATGAAACAGCGTATATACGCTGGAAAATCAGTGCATATACGCTGTTTCATCAGTGTATATACGCTATTTCATCAGCTGCATACTCTGGGCTGGTGAATCAGCGACTTTTCGCTGATTCAAATTTAGAGAGCAGAGATATCCCTGGGATATCCAAATTTCCATCCCATGGGAGACTCGCGCGGGATATCCAAATATTCTCCACACGGGATATGCTACGTGGTAAATAGTAATATGTTGAAAAATAATTAGAGCTTTAATGAGTTGAAAAACCATTATTAAATTATAACCAGAATGAGAAAAAAATTATTTCAAAAATAAAAGATTATTTGACTAATATCAAAGTTATTTTTTTGTAATTTAATAAACATTAGTTGAATTCAATAAAATGTCTTTTAAACGCTAAACATTTATTGTGTGTGGGTTTAAACTAATTTTGGTCTATTCATTTTATCTATTACTGATAAATATTTATTGGTTAAATATATTTACAAGAAACTAAACAAGTTGTTCATTTCATGATCATTAAGCTTCCTCAATATAATATATACCAATTGTTTAATTTTTTATTTTACAATAATTATTTTAAAGTGTTAAGATAAAATGTCAAAAAATACAAAATTTCAATTTTTTGTGAAAATTTAAAATATTTATTAATTCTATAAATTTTGATAAAATATATACTTTATATACATGAATCGATTCGTTTTTATGTCAGGAATGCAATTTTGACAAGAATTAATAAAAATTTTAATATAGAAAAAAGTTACTTCAAAAAATCCAAAAATTATTTTTTCAAAAATTAAAAAATTGTTGAAAATTTTTTTTTTTTAGATATTTTTGAAAATCCTTTTGTCTAATTTTTGGTATTCGTGATCGTAATACACCTACAAAATTTTATCAAAATCCGTCAAGACGTGTAAGAGAAAATTTGTCCACAAGAATCGGTGACATACACACACACACACACACACACACACACACACACACACATACACACACACACATACATACACACATACATTCGGACATTTGTTCCTCTCGACGAATTATATATACTACACTTGAAAATTTGTAAAAATAATTGGTTCTAAAAAATTCGGAAATCGACATCACTATAAGGCTTCCTTTATGAGGAAGCAAAAAATGTGAAAGTTAAACATATTAAACAGCAACACTTATAATCACACACTGCAAAACACACGCTTCTGATCTAATGACGCGACGCCATGATCGCCATGACACTCAACAGCTGGGTAGGTCGACGCCTGCGCGTGTAAGATTATATGAGTACATACATATAAAATTTTATTTCTTCTTGTTTAAAGGGAAAAATATACTGGATTTTCAGTAATTAATCTAGTAATTCATGCATTATTTGTTTAAAATGTAGTTAGAATAAATATTTGAATAATTTAATATATTATCTACCAAAAAAAGTAACTAAAAAATCGTACACTTTAAGCTGAGTTTATAAATACACTAGCGCCTCCGTCGACCGCTACGCGGTCGACTACGTTGCTTCCACTTTCCATTTAACACGTAATTATTCTTAAAAATTTTTAACACGTAATTTGCTTTTTCATGTTTTTCCTACCTTTAAATTATGATTTTATTGTGATAAAAAAATGTAAAAACAACATATTTCATTTGTTTAAATAAATTTTGAAACAAAATGTTTTTGTCAAAATTCAAAAATTATTATATTTGTTCAAAAATAATAAAACATTAAAATATCACTTCGAACGAAAACTGGTTTATAAACAATAATAAAAAAACTGTTACCCTACGTTTTTTTTAATTTTTACTCATTCTTTAGCAAATAAATGTTTATTTATTATTTATACGTATAACATATATGGTTATTTTGTTGTATTTTTAGTCGGTTGTTGTTGTTTGTTGTTTTTAGCAACAACAACAACAACAGAAATTTGTTTTGTTCCGATTAAGGGAGTATTCTGGTCTATAGGCCTCAATTTCAGGCGTTTTTTCGAGTAGAATAAAAAAGAAAGTTTAACATTTTTAGCATTTACTTTTCTTGCAAGTTGTTTATTAATGTTTAAAGAGTACAGAAAAAAATTAGGAAACAAAATAATAAAAAAATTTAAAAGTTATAAACTGATGAAGTGGGGACTGAAAAAAAGAAAGTGCGTACTGGTTGACAGTGTGGAGACTTTTGTAATGTTCTAAAACAAAAAACTCAAAGAAATTCTTGATTATTAAAGGCTTCGCTATGATCGGTACCTTGGAAAAAAAAATAAAATTTTTTAGCAAAATGGCGACGTTTTAAAAAAATGGTGTTTTTTGATTCTGTTTTTTAACTTTTTTGAATTTTTTAAAAATAGTAAAAAAAATATTTTTCAAATCCAAGGTTCCGACCATAAAGAGATATACAAAGAACATTTCTGCAAAATTTGAAGTAAATCGGTTGAGTATATTTTGAGTTATCGTATTAACAAGAATTTTGTTCAATTCCCACTTCACCAGTTCATAACTTTTAAAATTTTTGATTATTTTTTTTCCTAATTTTTATCTGTATTCTTTGAACATTAATAAAGAACTTGCAAAAAAAGTAAATATTAAAAATGTTAAACTTTCTTTTTTATCCCACTCGGAAAAACGCCTTAAAATTGAGGCCTCTAGACCAGAATACCCCCTTAAGTAACTAAGTTAGTGAGGTTACATTTGTTTACAAAGTGCATACCTTGTACATTTAGCACTAACCAGAAATACTACAACATAACACATTCAACACATTATTTTTCAATTGTAGACGCAGCCCAAAAATTACAAAATTAAAAAACATTTAATAAACTTTTATTTATAATATAATATTAAAAAACAATTATTTGCCGAAAATAAAATAAGAGTTCAAAAGAAAACAAACAGTGGCCATCTTTCTATCTTGGTTTGACGTCATCCTGCATTTCACGCGTGCGTAGTCTTTTTTAAGAAAGTTCTGTGATGACGTAATATCGATATATCTCTAAGGTTTCGAGAGAATCCGAGTTTCAATAGAAATAGAGTTTCGAGCTAGTTCTTCGATTTTTCTCGAACTTTCTTTTTTAGGAAAGGATTTATTTTCCACTTTCGTTAATTTAATGCAACAAATATCTAAACAAACTTTTTCTAATTTAAATGCGTTAAATATAATTTCTCAGCCCTTTGACACTTGGAACGATTGCATTTCGTTTCCTGCGCATGCGCTGACATATCCCATGCGGGATATCCCACACGGGATGACCCACGAAAGAAAACTCTGCATATCCCGTGGATATCCCAGGGATATCCAGTGGATGTCCTTAAGATATCCAAATTTCCGTCCCGTGAGATATCTCATGGGATCTCCCTGAGATATCCTACGGATATCACAGGATGGAAATGGGATAATCGCAGGATATCCCGTGCTGTGAGAGTATTATCTTGATTATTAAGTTTTTTATGTTAGTATTAGCGGAAAAGTATTTTGCGCCCGCTTGTTAATTATTCGATTTTCTTCATTAAAATGCGACATTTTCGACTTTCTTTTTATGTTGACTATAGAACTGCAAACATTTTCAACTTGTTTTATTTTGTCTATAAAAATTTGCAACTTTTTTTTATTTTCTCTAAAAAAATTATGAGACATTTGGTTTTGTTCTCATTTCGTTTATCAAAATTGTCAATTTTAAAAGTTCTTGTTTCAGTTTTGTTTAATTATTAATTACTACGTTCTAAAAAAATACTATGTTTCCAGAATACATTGTTTTTTATTTCTATTTTAAAACTTCTATCATTATAAACTTCATTCGATATAATGTTTATATAGAGCTTAATTTTTAACTTATATGAGCGTTTAATCGGGCGTGCCCTCAATGTCATACTTTCCATGCAGTTAGTACAAAAAATTATGTTCGCATCATGGGCGCAAAGGTGATTACGACTTTGGCGAAATTTCGGGACCTCGGGGACACTTTCGCTCCTTCGGCATCGCCTCGAGCGCGAAATTGTGTCCCCTCGGTCCCTTCATTTCGCCATCGTCGCAATCACCTATTTTGCGCCCTTGTTACGAAAATAACTATTTTATGGTTGATAACTAATGAATTATGTGACTATTCTCTCTTTACTTATAGGAAAAATACGCAATCTCTTTTCCGAATTCGATCTCAACAATTCGATATATTTGCGAAAAATGTATGTTGTGATCTACCTATTTATCTTTCTTTTTTTTTTGTCTGTAAATTTTGCGTGCAAGCCATGGGACAGCGGCTATTCATGGACCATCGGAAGACCAAGGATGGAGGCGTCCTCAGCTCATATTAGACTATATGTTCTTGTTACTCAACTGGTACTTTTCCATCTCGACTTTCAGTTTTAAAGAATGATCTCATAATCCAATTTAAAAATATTTTAAACCATTTTTATTGTATATGATAATGTAAAATTTAATTTTCTTTTTTACATATAGATTGATCATAATCATAAGATTTTATTTTACCATCTCTCTTTATCATTTACTCTAACATATTATTATGGTTTCATATTGAGAGTACCTGATTTAAAATTTAAAAAAATTGAACGTCAAATTGAGAAAAAAATTGAAAATTGTAATGTAAAGAATTTTAAAAATAGATTATATCAAAATGAATATTTTCCAAAATGGAAAAAATATTCTTAAGAAATATTAAAAAATTACTATTTAAAAAAGAAAATAAAACAAAAAATGTTGAGGAATTTACAACTGACAGAATTTGGTAATATTTATCAATTTGTATTTGATACTAATTAAAATAAACCTAGTATGCTTACTTACTATTTTACTGATTAACACTTTTTCCTCTCTGAACTTTAAAATGTGCATATGTTTAAAATATATATTACTATAACATCCAAAAGGTAATTTAACCTTTGCAGTTTAGTTCCTGACACATAAATGTCTGCAACATACAATTAACTTATTTTTTGAAGAAGCGAAAAACTCAAAAAGGATGATTTACTAATTGAAAAATTTACTTTTTTACTTCACACGAATTCCTAACCCGTTATTTAACTAAATCTTTTCTTTAATTTCTGTCCGAAAAAACCGGTTTCTTTGGAGCGCTATATTTAGGTAGAATTTTTAAATTATTTTCACTATAGTTAAAAAATAACCTTTAGTTAATGTTTTGGGGAAAATTATTAGATTTTTCTCAATTTTTTCATACTACGCCGCAAATTGTTATATTTTTTTATTTAAATTTTTACTGAAACGTGACTGAAATTAATATTAAATAACTCTTTTGAATATTTAAACAAAAAATTTTACTCACGTCAAATTAGTGTCTATAAATTTCGTTTTGGAAACTAAAATTGCAATGTTTTAAGGTTTTTGGTCTATTTGGAGAAAAATAGCACTATAAATTTTTCTTTAACTTTATCACTTGAAATTAAAATCTTAAATTTTTATTTTAATATAGTATATATAATTTACGTAACATTATTTCGAAGCTAAATTCGATTACGTGGTTTTTATCGCCGAAATCAGTAGAAAAGTAAGAAGTATCACATTTTTTAATTATTTTGTTGTAGATTAAAATTATTTTAAACATACTACATTTATTTGTAAATATTTATTACCAAAGATATTTAAAACATGCGCGGATCTTAACTAAAATAGAAAAGTTGTCAAAAAGGCACGATTTACTGACCAAAAGCTGATTAGAGCGATTATTCAATAAATTACTGAATTATCAAAATTTAAAATTACAATAAAAAACAAACGGATACTAATTTTTCAAAAACCTTTAGGGGTTTTACTCTGCTGGGTAGTACTTTCATCCCATTATAGTTAAGTCTTAACCCAAAAAAATTTTTCAAAAATTGTTCCACTGTGTAATATACCTATCGTAATTGTTATATTATACATAATTAATTATTTCTAAATAATTAATTCTAAATATAAATAGGGAGCTTAATTTTAACTTCAAAATACAAACGGTATTTTCAAATATTTTTGCTATACACTGAAGTCTTGGTTATACGGAATGTGATGGCGCTGAAACGGGATGAGGGGTGAAGGGAAGGGTCGTGCTTGACTCGATGATGTCAGTAGCGCACCTATCACTGGATCCTTTTTTCCCCTTGATATAACCTAACCTCAAAATTGTTAGTGAGCTATCAGACAATATTAATTAATTTATTTATTTGTCTACAAATGTAATTTAATAAATTCAAATTATCAATTTTACACTATATTAATAAATTTCAAAGATATAAAAAAGATTAGCAGGCGATTCTATTTCAACCGAGGGCAAAAAGAATCTTCGTACTGTCCTGCATATTTATACTTTTTCGTCAAGGTGACCTATTTGGATTATACGGACACACACCCGAGTTGTCCGTATAACCAAGACTTTAGTGTACTATGTTCCTTTTAAATCTAGCTCAGTACAATTCCTCCTGTACAATGTTGTCCATAATAGTTGATTTGTTTATTGTTGACACTTTACCAACGATCAAATCAAAAGAATAATGATTAATAATTTCAATTATAAATTGAAAACGATTTCAGTATTATAGCAAATTTATTCGAAGGTACACGTAAATATAATCATGGATACTTTTGACATGAAAAATTATTTTGAAAATAAATTGAAAGACTTGCCCGTTACAGATAATTCGGTTTCAATAAGTGACGAAAAAATGTATAATAAAATAATACAAAAAGTGATCGATTCAAAAAATAAAATTAAAAAAAGTTCAAGTGATTATCGGCGTTTGAGAAGATATGACGTATTAACAATTGAAGATGAAAAAAATTGATAGTTCCTTTACATAATAATGCCAGCGAAAGTGTAAAATATTTCGTTCATAATAATGAAATTTTTAATATACTAAAATCTGCTCATACTATTACTGGTCATGGTGGAATACATAAAATTCATAATTCGCTAAAGGACAAATATGCCAATATAACGCGGCAAGTTATTTCATTGTTTTTAGGCGGTTGTGAAACGTGTTTAAAAAAAAGAGCGCATCCAAAAAAGGAGTAGTCGTCAAACCAATTTTATCAAAAGAGCCTTATGCACGTGGTCAGGTGGATTTAATTGACATGCAATCTACCAAGGACCGGGATTATAAATTTATTTTCAACTATCAGGATCATTTGACAAAATTTACTGTATTGAAGCCGCTGAAAACAAAAACAGCGACTGAAGTCTGTTATAATTTAATCGATGTATTTTGTACCTTCGGCGCTCCTTCGATACTTCAGTCAGATAATGGACGAGAATTTGTAAATTCTGTAATAATCGAGATGAAATTAATGTGGCCTGATTTGAAATTGGTCCATGGTAAACCCCGTCATTCTCAAAGTCAGGGCAGCATAGAGAGATGTAATAGAGATGTTGAGGAGATGATTAGAGCATGGATGATTGACAATAAGACTAATCAATGGAGCGAAGGTCTGCGTTTTTGTCAGTTTCAAAAAAATAATAGCTTACACTCCGGAATAAATCAATCGCCATTCAAAGCTTTGTTTGGGAGAAAAGCACTTGTAGGACTGACAAGTAGTAATTTACCAAATTCGATTATTGAAAAACTGAATTCTGAGGAGGACTTAGAAGCATATCCATTATCTGCTGTAAAGACTACAACGCAAAGTATTTTTACAAATAAAGAAGTTGATTTCACAGCACAAGCTTCATTAAATTTGTTCTTGACTATCCATATATTTTTACCAAGATGGATCTGAAATGAAGAGAAATTTTATTAGTTATTTCATAAAGTTATTATGACAAGTTACTTTAGTATGGATAAGGATTTCGTTGACTGCTTGATTTTTCTCATAGTTTTACTAATAATATTAAATTATAAGAGTAGAGATGATTCTATCACTCAGTCGTATTTTCACTATTTATTAATATTAAATTATGTTAAACTAATTAATTTCAACATATGAAATGCAAAAATATATTTTAGCATACCTTGTTATTCTTCATATCGGTTTTCAATTTTTGTGTGGAGTTCGTCATTTCTCTCTTTTTCTAGACGCAGTTCGATTCTTTGTTTATCTACAATTTACAATTGATGTTCCAACAACTTTGTTAAGTTTTCAACTGCTGCCTCTGTTCTCAATAACCTTAAAATGCAGTGGACATGAGCAAGAAGCTAGTTGCTCTGATTGGGAAGATAATGATTCTACAAATACAACTCCATCAAAACATACTTCTGGATTATTTAATTTTTCCATTGGTGGAACTAGTAATAATCCTTTCTAAAATGTGATATTTCGCTAACTGATTAGTGTTTGTAGAGTATTTATGATCATTATCTGTCAATTGTTGCACCTTTTCCAATGTACTTGAAAGGATAGTTAAATTCGAAGATAAAATTTGCTGTTCAGATTAAAAAGTAGTTATCAAACGCGTTAGTGAAATATTTTCTTTTTCTTCAAACATTTTTTTCATAGAATGTGAAGGTAAGGTTCTTTCTGAAACTGAAACTTGCATTAATTGATCGGTATTTGAAATAGATTCATAAGCTTTTCTTTCGAAACGTTGAAAATTTTTTGAGGAAAATATTTCTTCTTTGATCGAAGTGCATTTATGACTATTTTCTTTGAATTCTTCTGTATGTTCTGATTTATGTACTGAAAAAACTGAATTTATTGATTTCTATAAATTCTTCTTTTTTGAATCAACTAGAATAAGATCATTTTGCTTTCGTTTCGACCGCAATATAACTTGTTTTACAGCAATTAATTTATTTATTTCTAATCCTCTATCATTATTTCTTTTTCTTCTGCAAACTAAAAAAACTAAAACTAAAAACTAAAATTTCAATAAAATTTTAGAAAAAAAAGAAAAAAATGTTAATTATTTTTTTTCTAATATTTGAAAATGGTTAATTAATTTTAACTGGCCATGTATATATATACAAAAAAGATACAAGTCTTTAAAGTTGATATCTGCTCCGAATAGCCCCAGTTTACGGTATTACTTTTGATCTTTTTTGAATTATCAACGAATTCTAACAGAATTAACTAGTTGATCAGTAATTTTTAACAAATTTTTCTCATATATACCGCTCTTGAACAAAGTCAGGTATGTTTATTGAATAACTTTTTCAGTTGATAATGTCATTTTTTCTGGTAATAATATTTCATGTCGATTTACAATATTTTATATTAAATAATTCGATATTCGATGTTTGATTTATATCTAACTTGTAACTTTATATTCGTTATGTTACAAAATATAAGTAGTTTTCTCTATCGTTCATACTGTGAAAAATCATTAATTCCAATAAACTGTAACGGACACTGATTGGCATAATGATCGCATGTGAGTGGATTTGCATTCATAGTTCCATTTTCAATGAAGGACCTAAAACCAATTCGTTTAATGCATGACTGCTTCGATAGCGTGACAAATAATTGACATGAACTTTGCATCTTTAAACAATCAAATAATTTAATTAATTTTTAAAACCTTATTATTAAGAATTGTTCTATTATACCTACCGTAATAGTAATTTTAATATTTTTTCAATGACTCCATCTTGTTTTTTAATATATTCAGTTGCTTCGCAAAAATTCTTCATTAAACAAGCCTGCCCATTAAAGCCATGACTGAAATTAAGAAAAAATTATTAAATTTTTTTAGTCAATTTATTTTAAATTCGACGAAAATGAGTGGTGTTAAATTGATTGTTTGCCTTACTAAAAACGATTTTTATATTATTAATTTAAAGTTAAATGAGAAACTAGTCTAACTGATATTGATTTTTACTACCTAATTTAAGTGTTTTAGCTAATTTTTATCTACACACAAAGAAAATTGGTTAATGATGGCGACTGTTGGTTCGTCTCCGATAACTGAACATTTTAGTTAATATTTGACGGAAAAACTGTAATATTCGGATTTACTAAACGAATGATAGGACATAGTGAACCGACAGAGGCGCTATTATCGCTTTCCCTTGTACACTCAATAACATAAATGCTTTCCTTTCGGTTTGGACAACTTTTTGAAAATTGGTGTGCCTTCTATAAGAATGTTTTAAGTCTATGGCGTATGATGGAATTGAGACGCCATAAACTTAAAACATTCTTATAGAAGGCACATCACTTTTCAAAAAGTTGTCCAAACCGGAAGGAAAGCATATATATGTTATTGAGTGTAATTTCGTGACTAAACATGTTTTGTAGCCATACCATACAAAGTTGCTTTGCGGTGTACGCTGTAACTCGCAACATAATCATTTAAAACAAAATAATCAAAGTGTATTTATTAAAGAAGTTGTTTCTTGAGGTGACCCTTGGAGGATTTCTTTTCATTTTTCAATTTTTCCTGACACTAGGAAGCTAAAATGCCGATTGTTTCTATAAAAAATTACTTGAAACTTTTTAAAATCGATTTTAATTTTTGTTTCATGAATTTAAAGCGTTTTTCATGCACTTTATAAAAATTAAAAAAAATTTTTTTTAAACTTCTACTATAAGATACAAACTATACAATGACTCATTAAAAAAGTTATACCAAATAAACTAAAAAAACAGTCCTTTGTCACACACGAGAAACTGTCGTTCCCTACCTAATTAAAAAGATTATTAATAATAGTAATAGTCATAATAAAAACAATAATAATGATGGAAGGAAATTAATTTATTAACTTCTTAAAGTAAGTTAACTTCTTTCAAATTTAATAATAATGATATTTTTATTGCTAATTTCTATTTCTTTTTTATACTAATAGTTGTTATTATTGCCATTACAATTAATATATTTGAATTTTGCCTTGTTGTTTCTGCGCTTCGGTTGAGACAGAATTATACAATGAGTTCCGAAGTTGCGATTCCACATGAAGATCATAAAGCCCCCCTAGATTATCACTTTGTTTATGCAACAAGAAATATAGACGCGAAGGTTATCGAAGGTTTGGATTCACAAAAGTAATAATTAGAAAGCAATATTTTTTAAAGTTTAAATTTTACATATCGCTAATTTAAAGGCTAACATTTATTTATTTATAGGATTTTGGTCCAGGCTTGCTTAATTGCAACATAATAAATTAATTCAAAGATTTAGGAGATTTTTAACCCTCCATCCGTAGCATCTTTTTTGTAACGCGGTTGGTCGCAGGTGAACAAAGTGCTCACCATCATAAATTAGTCCAAAAATTTTAACAAATGCCAAATTTTTTTGGAATGTTCATTAGAATTTCTAAAAACAACCTATTAGCAGTAAAATTTACTTTCCTTTTCTATTAATTATTTGAAAGGTCTTGTAACTTTTTTACCTCTAAAATATAAAGATTTTAAAAAAATGTTTGCTCAAAAGTTTTAAAATATAATTGATCAAAAGTTTTTAGATGTCATTGTGTCTGAATAGAAGTCTTAAAAAAGAATTTCATATTTGAAAAAATATAGGTATATTCCTAACACGAAAATAAAAATATAAAAAACACAAAAATTGGTTTAATAAATAGAAGAAGAGTGCTGTGAGAGGTACTGTCAATTTGGAATTATAATTTTATGTATTTTTAAATTTATAAATAAAAAAAAACTGGGTGAGGAAACTCCTCATCATGCGACGGACGGAGGGTTAATTATATTTTTAAATTTTCGAGTTAGAAGAATCGTTACAACGTATACAAAAGATGAATATTACAAAGCTGTTCGGCGTCTTGCTTTAAGTTTCCGGAATGTGTTACATTGTAGCAAAACTGCAAAAGAGAGATATTCATATTTTACAGCGAGAAAAAATACAATAGAAAAATTGCAATAAGTTCCCGAATACCACAGCATTGCAGCATTGGCCAATGCAAGAAGAAGTAACTGTATCTTGCCAGAAACTTCTCTTCACACTATTTCTCTTTTTACCACTACCATTAAGTGGAAAGCATTCTATACATTATTCACTGACTATTAAACTATTTATTACCTTTCGTACATTAGCTTTGCGTTTTCATGAATATCTCGAATGGATCTATGTTCTCCAAATCCCAGGCCATCGGGAAGTTTCCAAACAAGTTTGAAACCAGTGGCTTGTGCAAAAATTGTTGTGTAGCTAAAGGAATTGATTTTGTAGTTCATACGATACTGAAAATTTTAATAGGGTAAATTAGATTTTTATTGCATCTTTAGGATAAAACAAACATATTAGTTATTAAAATGATAGTTGGGTATGTGTGCGTAGATGCCGTTTTTTGTAAACACAATAACATAAAGAAGTTTTAATGAAATTGCGTAAAAATTTCTAGATATACATCACTCCACTGACACGAGCAGTTGAAAAGTAAGCTAAACGTGACTGACGACCACTAGGGGCCCTAGTAGAAAATGAGGCCTGGTACATGAATGTGATTGGTTATTTAAGTTGTCCATAATCATAGAAATTTTAAACAACCAATCACATTCATGTACCTAGGCCTCATTTTCTAGTAGCGCCCCTAGTGGTCCCAGTCACCTCTCATCATACTTTTTGTATTGAAATTACATTACCGTGTCAGAGGGGTGATATGCATGGAAATGTTTTTAACCTGCTGCCATCTCAAATGAGGTAATTTGTTTTTTTGTATTAAATTTTTGATTTAGATTAAACGGTCTAGCCGTAATCTTGTCCAACGATTTACCCTGCAAAGAAGCGAGACCAACTTTGTCGCCCTTTATAGGCAACAAATTGAAACTTTTTAAAGTATAAATATATATTGTCGTAAACATAAAAAATTCACAAATAAAGTCCTACAAACCAAATTTTATTTACTTTATTCCCGCCTCTTAACAAAATTAATGAAATACATGTTCAAAAGACATCTCAAAGTCAGGACTTTAAAAAAAAATTAAGGATGTAAGAGCTGTTATTGAAAAAAAACTTTTAAATAACTAAAAATTGATCTAAATCCAACGGATGATATGCGCATTTTGTTACCAGGGTGTTACGACACTCTTGCTTGGGGGCATTATAAAATAAAGGAAAATTAAGTTTGTAGATATTATATATGTCAGTTATGAAATTGTTGTAAGTATAAAACCAAATAATACTTTACGTAGTGAAATAAGAAACAGTTTTAAAGTAAGCTTTTAACAAAAAAATACTATTAGAGAATTATTGGGGTTTGCAATACTATCACATAATAAAACGTATATCTCTGATTTACCAGTAGCTATCCTCAAAGTAAATTTGATCCGTGTTGAATGCAGTATTCTAACTGGTGCATACATTAATAATATAAAAGTACAAACTATTCGCGAGTATTTTCTAATAGTCCCTGATAGATATTATTTATCTCCCAGTTGCCGTGAAGAAAATAAAAATGAAAAACTTTATCTAAAATTTTTCAGATAAAAGAAAAAAAAGGTGATCAGTTTTCAAAATGAATTTCGAAAAGTGTTTAACTTTGTGAAATGAGTTTGTTTATTCTTTTGTCTATCAATGACTTTTAAACATTTTTATCATTTTAACATTTTTAAGCATAACATAATAGTTAATAACTACAGAACAAATGCTGACCTATTTTCAACACCCTAAAAAATGTAATCTCATAGTTAGAGGAAAAATCCTCTTCTAATATCCTCTCAAAACAAAAGTATACTACTTGAATAAAGCCTATTTTTATTCTTCGGTGGTTAATAATAAAACAATAGTACATTTCGTAACAAGTTTAAGCAGAATCATATGTTCTTGAATTTTTTTGAGAAGAATTTCTCGTTCTCAAATCTATAAACGTATACACTTTACGTGATAGTTTCAATTTTTTGTTTTAGTTTTTGCGGTAAAAGGAGATAGAATTTTATTGGTTTTTCATTTCATACTTAAACTTTTTTATTTTAAACATTTACAATATAAAATTATTATAACTAAATCTTCTGTCACAAAACGTGTTCTCTTTGCGAGAACTCTTTCAATTCTAACATTTTCGTCCACTCACACATCTCAGTAAAAAAAGGTGGCGGTACGGTCCCAAGACGCTGCGCAAACAATCGAAAATGAAATTAGTGGGAAAACATTTAAATTCAAATTATTGCTTTATCACAATTAAACATTTTAGATAGAATATTTTATAAATTTTTATTATCTTAGGTCAATTACACTGTGCGACACATTTTTCTTTCCCGGTTGGCTCTTGTGCTAAATGATAGTACAAATAAACAGTAATTTAACCCTCCAAGGGTTTTTGAAATGTAGCTCAAATTTATTTTTTATAAACCTTTGAACTTATGCTCATTTTTGTGAAATTTTCAAAAATTTTCAATCTTTTGCTATATTTAAGTAGAAATATGAATTAAGTAATGAGTAAAATATAAGTATTAAATAAATTCTAATTAAAAAGGTGTAATTATAGTACTTAATTGGAAAAGTGATTATAAAAGCTAATTTATCGAATTTTTCTGTATTTTTTTAACAAATTTTTTATAACCATAATGTAAATAAATAATAATATTTAAATTGTTTAACAATTTTCCCAAGGAAAAAATATTCAAAACAATTTTTTTTAACAAACTATTTTTAAAATTATATATCACAAAAGGTGCAAAATTTTTTTTTAAATATCACAAATTGTAACTTGAAATTTAAAATTTCATAAAAATATGAAATGAACTAAGTTTGCAAAATCCTTTTGGAGTTTCATTATTGGATACATCTTCTTCAATTTAAGCCAACACTTATTTGGGAAAGAAACAATAAACTGAAAATTGTTGCACAGTGTTATTTATCTTATCTATCTTAGGAATCCATAAGTTCTCGCTTTTTCATTCAAGGATCACTTAATAGTATAGATTTCATTACTTTAGATTTATAACTGATTACATATTGCCTTTGGGGTTGTCCATAAATTAAGTAAGACATTTTTTGAAAAATTTGACCCCCCTTCCTCCTCGTAAAATATTTTACATACATTAGCGCCATTTTTTGTATTGTTCGTAAGAACATTATGGACGGCCCCATTCTTCTTTTTTAAAATAATTTTTTCCCATGGTTAATTATCAGTTAAAGAAAAAAAATAAATTTCACTGTGTAGAGAATTATACTTTTCATACGTCAAGATATCAACTGTGTGCTTCCAAAGGGATTTACACAGCTCACTGTTGCCTGCTGACTGTCCTCTGTTTCAAACATTGTATCCAGGGCTCCGGAAACATTCACATCATCTACGACGAACTCTGTAGCGCTGTAAATTATCTCCTGCATATCATTTGGAAAACTAACATCGTCGTCATCGGAAATTAAAATAATAGTATCAGCTTGGTTTCTCTTTCGCTTGCTCCACCAATGACCATCAAACCTGGTTCGATCAGGTTCTGCTAGACCAACGCTTCTGCTCCTGTTTATATAGGCAAATCTGCCCTTTTGTCACTAAACCCACTCACATAAAAATATGTTGGTAACACATTACCGACACTTGGCTCGGAAACTCAAATTCAGTAAGCAAATAATGTGTTGTAAAATAATTTAAAAGTCCCCAAGCAAGAGTAGTCCAATTGTACAATCGGTCAGTAAAACAGTGTCATACCCTACAGACCAATGTGAATTTACCAACAGAAATCTACATTACCAATCGTCGATGAGGTAGGAATCTTCATCACCGACATTTGATATACTGACGACAGGCGACATGACGTCATAACATTGCCGTGTTTGCACTTTCGGTATACGTGTGATAGGAAAAAAAGTGTGTGAAACTCTGAAGGAAAATGATTTCTAACTTGTGTTTTATAGTTTTTGGCTTAGCTCGCAAGTACTGGCCTTTAAATTATGCGCTCACTTCGCCTCGAACTGCAACCCTATACTAATGGAAATAAATTATTTTCCACCCTAGATTCACAATATACTATTTCCTACTATATCGGAAAAGCGGCGTATGAACGTATTTTCAAGAAAAATTTTTTTTCTAAGGTGTAAATCTACCTTTATGGAGCATTTACACCTTCGGTAAAAAGTGTGCAAAATGGAAAATCTATATTGGAGTAAGAGAGGCAGGCGGTGCATCTGTCCCTATTACTCCAATGTAGATGTTCTGTTCTTGACAATTTCTACCGAATGTGTAAGGGTGGAGTCCCACGTGAACAGAAAGCAGAAAATAATGAAAGAAAGAGAGGTAGCAAGATAGTAGTAAAGCTGTTTTTACAATGGCTTAAACTTGTTAATTATGGATGGACTACAAATGGCTACAGAGAAGACAGAAGCTTTGCTTGTCACAAGCAAATAATTGTTTAAGTTCCCGAAGATTCGTATAGGATAGACTGAAGTCTCCTATGGAACTAACGGAGAAAAATCTCGCAAAAGCGGTTATCCGCAAAGAGGCGAAATGTAGACTCGTTGAAAGATGGCAAAAGAGATGGAATAAGGTTCCCAAAGGAAGGTGGACATATTGCCTGATCCCCATCCTCGACATTTGGCTCGGAAGAAAGCACGGAGAAGTTGGCTTTTAGCTGACACAAGTGTTGTCAGGTCACGGATGTTTCAGACAGTACCTTCATAGGTTTAAAATTAAGAGAGAAGCATAATGCCATGTTTGCGTCAGTTCGCTTTGAAATCAACGTCGATAACATGGTGTCTAACAGAGTTCAAAACGTGGTCTCCTGGAGGCAAAATGAATTCTTTATTATTAAAATAATGGGCGAAAAAGATAGAGATGGAAGACAAGGTTGAACTGAAGAATCCAGTGCTTAGTAGTGTGTGAGCGTGGAAGGAGGAAAACATTTAGCTTTTCCTCCCGCCCTCGCTCCCACATTGCATAAGCGGATTAATGACAAGTTAAGGAGCAGGACAAGTGGACCACCACTTGAGAAGTTCAAGGCCTGACGGTAGTACCACAGGTGGATCAAGTGTCCCAGAATAAGACGAGAGTAGTTTTCAGTGGATCGACCAGAACAAAAGCGATCATCCCCACATAACCGAGGATTTATTTATTTTGTTTTTCTGAGACATGAAAATCATACATTTCATTTAAATTGGATTTTGATAAAGAAAAATGTACCTACCTACATATATTATCAATATCAACAGTCAGCCTGAAAATGAAGGAAATTTGAAATTTTTGACCCAAAAAATCGGATTTAACGCGGTAAAATATTTAACAGCCTAGAATGAAGCATATGAATTTTATTTGCTAAAGCAAGCATCTTTTTCATCATGATTGGTTACTCACAAAAAACGTGCTACCCTTCCTAAATGCAAGGATCCTTTTACTCCTTGCATTAGCTGCAGTGTCATTGTATGACGTCATGATGTAAAGTAGAGTTGTCCAACATAAAAATCTCATAACTTTTTTAAAATAAATAATAATTTATATTGAATTTGTAGTTCATCCGTTTTATATTATATACCAATTAGAATCTGATGGTTGACGTTAATTCCTTTAGGTACAACTAGACAATTAATTTAATCGAATTGCAATTAAAAACCACGATGTTATATTCCCTTTACAGTGCATTTTAAAACAAATCAGTTTTTTTAATTTCGTGAGAATTTTTTGCACGTTATTTCTGTAAAAATTAACAATAATTAATTCTTGTGAGAATAAAACTAAAAAGAAGAATAAAAATGTATTATTAGTTGTAAACAGTCTTCTTAAGTTCTATAAACACTTTCCATCGTGATTTTAATATAATTATCCGAAAGTGTAGGAAATAAATGTTTTCCTTTTTTGAAATAATAATATAACATTTTTATTATTTTATTTTTTAGATATAAAATTTAGACAGATAAAATTTTACATTTTATAAAAAAAATTTTGTGGTCCTGTGTAATTTTTAAAAATCAAAGAAACACATTATTAAAAATATTTTTTCAATTTTTATGTATAGCGTACATTAATCAATTTGATTACTAGGCAACATTAAACAATTATAGTAGAAAATTTTAAGGTTTCAAGGTTATTTTTAATATACAAATAGAAAATCATTGCAGGGTAAAAAATGCCCTGTCTTTTGCTTAGTATTACAAAGCTGAACCTAACGCTACCCAGGTTAAAAATTGTGTACAGCCTACAAATCATAATGGATTTTTGAAATTTTTTTAAACACTCAGCACTAAATTTTGAAGAGATCTCTCGAGGCGGATTTTAAAATTCTTGTATATTGTTTAAACAAACTTCTTTTAAATCATGATAAAATGTATTTTCGATTACCGTACATTTTCCCGATTCTGATTCCCCGAAAGACGTCCTCCCGAATTACAATTTTCCCCAATACATTTTTCACGAATCTAATTTCCCGAATAATAAATTTTCCGAATAAGTAATGTCCGTTTTTTTCCGAGAAGGAAGAGAACAAAATTGAATTTGAAAAAATTGTCAATAGAAGAGATATTTGTTTCCATAGCAACGAAGCAAGTACTTTGTAAACTGTCATAGTAGCGAGTCATTTATTTTTTTAATTATGTCAGTTTTGTAAATGTTATTTTTTATTTGCATGCCTTATCTTATTACATAGCACTGTAAAATTTATATGTTCATTTTTATAGTATTTTATTTTTGTGTTGTCTATTTTTATAGTATTTTATTTTTATAGCTTTGTACTGTATGTCATATTATCTAATAACTTTTTTACTTATTTTTAATGAAATATTTTTTTTTATTTTTCGGGAACATAGACAGTCGGGATTAGTCGCTGATTAGGACTTCAGTGTTCCACAGTAGGAGATTTAGTGTTTTGTATCAAAATCATAGAACTCTAAATAGAAACATTATAAATGGATAAAAGCTTTTGAAATAAGTATAATATATTAGAGTCTAGATAAAAGAGGAAAAATCGGGAGAATCAGCAAAAAAATGTTATAACCTCAAAAATGTACATGGAAGTCATCAGTTTTGGTATGAAATCTCTATTATCCATGATTGTGTAAGTTTTAAAGTTGTGTTTCTTGAAAACAACTTTAATAAAAATTAATAAAATATTCTTCTGTTTTAAGGAAATGAAATTATAAATACCATACTTTATCACTCCTCTCTTATGCACTGTAACGACATGTCTTGTGCGAGCAACTTAAACAAAACGAATCAAATTCTATCTCAGACTTTGTTAGATTTGGAGCAGAAGTTGTCGGTTTAGATATGACAGAACATAAAAGTCCTTAAATATTCTTTATCAAAACCTGACAGATTCTAAGTTCTAGTTCTATTTTAATACCGAAATCAAATAGAATTTTCTATCCTATTGTTTTCAATTGTTTTTAATCGAGTTTTTCGCTTTATAATAAATATAATCTTATTAACATAATAATAATATTATTTATATAATAATTTATATTTGTTTAATATTATTTTTAATAATAAAATAATATTAATTAATATTAGATTTTTTACTGCATTAATATTAAGTAAGAATAATTTTCCTTTTTATTTTGTAAGATTTTTTCTATTATAATAGAAATGGGAAAGTGAAAGAAAATTTTAACTTTACCGATTGTGATGTTTATTTCCGTGAATAAGAACTTAAATTCTTTTCTCCTTTTAAAATATAGAAGAAGACAACTAAAGCAAGCAAGAAAATTTTCGTTTCTTTATTTGGTCGTTTCGTCTTTCATTGATGTAAAATTTATTGTACAAAATTATTAGTATTTCCTTGTTACTAAGTAAAAAAAGGCTGTTCCTTTTGAGTACTGTACTCGTTAGACAGTCTGTAAATGCTAAAGTTAAACACCGTTGAGAGAAGGAGACTCCCGTAATTTCTTAATATTTACCAAGTCACTATTCTACTGGAAGCATCACTCGACAAACAATAGTAAATAATAATTTAAACACATTATTTATCTTATTATATTTAAATGTATTAACAAATTTGATTCTTATAAATGGTAATTATGCTTGCATGTTTTTGTACTAGAAAAAAATGTATTTTATTATATTCCTTCGAGTTTAAGGATTCGGAAGTATATCTGGAAACCATATTGATAATCTATTTATTTGCACTTTTACTTATGTAATAATGGCACTATTATTTAGGGGAGACCGGGGCTAAACCGGACGGATTTGGTCTTTGACCAGAAAACTCATCGAAAAAATATTTTTTGCTAAAGAGTAATATACCGTTTTGAAGCTTGTACCTTCACCTACAAATCGCACTTCTTTGATTTTGAAAAACTACAGTAGCTTTGGAGATATATTGCTTCAAAGGTGACTACCTCAAAAACAAAAATCCGAAAATTGGTGGGGCTAATCCGGACACCCTATGGGGCTAAATCGGACACGGCTAATTAATTAAAGAATGAGACACAAATTTTCGTTTTTTTGTAGAAAAGTCAAATCAATTCTTTATTTATTCATTTGTAGATAGTTCTATACAAAGAATATAATATAAAATGTAAAATCGGTAATTAATATAATATAAAATGAATTACTGTTTTCAGACTTGTCTGTTTGTAGCAACTCGCTTGCGAATTCGAGTTTTAAAATAAATTCTTTATTTATTTACTTATGAAGTGGTTCTATGCAAAGAATATAATATAAAATAAATTAAAGAATTCAAAGATTTGGTTGTTTTTTTATCACGATGTCCGATTCAGCCCCACATCGTCATCTAATAATTAACCTGCAATATATTTTTTCCTCTTAACGTTTTCCATTAAACTTTTTTTCTACTAAACTCAGTACACCTTGGGCTATAAGAAAAATTGCCGTATGATATTTGCACTTTAATTATAACGATAAAACCTCATGCAGCATATGAGGCATTCCATTTCAAAACGACCCCCTTCGTAAACAATTGCCAATGTAAGACTATTTTTAAATGAATATTTCTTCCATTCTGTAGAACCAAATTACTTTTTATATTAGTGATTTCGAAAGTAGAATTTCTGAACTTTCTGATAATAAAAAAATATATTTTTTATATAATTTAATTTAAATAGAAAATTGAGTTTAAAAGTTAAACTTTGAAAAATCTCAAAACACGTTACCTCCGATTTTAATAAAATTCATATCAAACGAAAGCTTGAATATTCTTCTTTTTATTTATCAAACGATAATAATGGACATTTCAGTGGATTTTGAGAAAATAATTAAATTTCACAAACATTTCGAAGGTTATATATGAGAAAACCATTTATTAAGTATAGGGCGGCATTTGTTTTTCCCAATTTATGCATAATAACCTTCGAAATGTTTGTGAAATTTAATTATTTTCTCAAAATCCACTCAAATGTCCATTATTATCGTTTGATAAATAAAAAGAAGAATATTCAAGCTTTCGTTTAATATGAATTTTATTAAAATCGGAGGTAACGTGTTTTGAGATTTTTCAAAGTTTAACTTTCAAACTCAATTTTCTATTTAAATTAAATTATTAAAAAAATATATTTTTTTATTATCAGAAAGTTCAGAAATTCTACTTTCGAAATCACTAATATAAAAAGTAATTTGGTTCTACAGAATGGAAGAAATATTCATTTAAAAATTGTCTTACACATTGGCAATTGTTTACGAAGGGGGTCGTTTTGAAATGGAATGCCTCATATGCATCACGAAATTGCGCGTTCATAGGTTATTTACACGATTTGAAATTCTTCACGGTTTCGGAAATATTTGACTTGTCCGGTTTAGCCCCGGTCTCCCCTACTTCAAATTTTAATATATATATTACATTTTTCCATATTATAGAATAATATTATTGTATCCATTTAAATAGAGTTTGTACAAGAAAAGAAAATTATGATTCTTATACAGTTAACATGATCAACCCATTAATGCCCATGAGCATACTGATAAACACTGACGCAAACTAACTAATGAAATGAGGATATTAGGTCATAAACGACAAGAAAAACAGTTAAAACAATTTTTTAATTAGCTTAAACAATTATTTTTTGTTTATGTACAATTTTATACCTTGAAAAATGTTGTTTCTAGTACAGTTTAATAAATATAATTATCATTGATTTTAATTAACTGAATTTCTGAACTGGAATAAAGAAACAAAAATTAAGCCTTTGTAACCATCCCTTGCCTATAAAACCACCCTCAAATTTTGTTTAAAAGGGATTAAAAAATATTTTTTAAAAATTCTGCTAACTTCAAAATGATTTACGAACATTATTTTGTTGCTTTAAAATCTATAACAAAGGTAAAAAACCCCTGAATTACAAAATTACCGATAAATGTTTACAATTTATCTTACTAATAAAAAATATTTATAACATCCAGATGATTTAAAATTGTAAAAGAATATTTATTTAAAATTTTAAAAGTCTATTAATAGGACTAATTAATCAATAACAGTGTAATTTAATTAAATGCCAATGTTTATTTATTTAATGTATATACGGGCTCAAAGGCCCTTTGAAGAGTAATATATATATATAAAAAAAAGAATACAATGATGACTTAATCCTAAACGTACTAATACGCTCAAACACAACACACCGCACACCAATAACACATCTATCTAGTGCTGTCCATAGACAATAACAATCGGCGCAATGAGGTTCTAAAAGCTGACAGAGAGATCCCAAAAAAATCAATTTTATCATTATATACATTAGCCGCTCTATGAAGCCTTTCAAAAACTGAGTAATAACCATAATTAGTTCTATGGAAATTAACAACAAAAGGCGAATTATATCTTAATAACCCATTAGGAGCAGAGAAATTAATTCTTTCAAGAATAGAAGGACATTGAATAATATTATTAACCCATTAAAGCCCATGATTAGACAAAAGAAAATATCATCAAAATTATTATTGGAAACAGGACTGCGGATCAAATAATGACTTTTGACGTCAAAAATTGTTTAAAAAATAATTTGTTTATAAAAATTGTTATAAACAAATGAAGAAAATTGATAAAATTTTAAAAACTATTAGCGCCATTCGATTCTACGTGAAAAATTACTAAAGGAACATGTATGACTTTTTAAAAATTTTCACTCGATTTGTTGTAAATAATTTATAAACAAATAGTGCACTCTCATGTACCTATTTGGGCCCATCATTAGACAACTAAAAATTTCAGCAAAACTATTACTGGAAACAAGACTGCGGATCAAATGAAGACTTTTGACGTCAAAAATTGTTTGAAAAATAATTTGTTTATAAAAATTTTTATAAACAAATAGAGAAAATTAATAACATTTTTAAAACTTATAGTGCCATTCGATTCTAAGGGAAAAGACTACTAGAATATTTTTTAAATTTAAAAAATTATGAATCAACAAATTCTGCCTGCATTTGTTCGTATGAAATATTTAACCTTTAGAATTACTGTCACTATTGTTAATTTGTTTATAACAATTTTTATCAACAAATTATTTTTTAAACAATTTTTGACGTCAAAAGTCATTATTTGATCCGCAGTCTTGTTTCCAATCATAATTTTGATGAAATGTTTAGTTGTGTAATGATGGGCTCAAATAGGTACATGAGAGTGCACTATTTGTTTATAAATTATTTACAACAAATCGAGTGAAAATTTTTAAAAAGTCATACATGTTCCTTTAGTAATTTTTTACGTAGAATCGAATGGCGCTATTAGTTTTTAAAATTTTATCAATTTTCTCCATTTGTTTATAACAATTTTTATAAACAAATTATTTTTTAAACAATTTTTGACGTCAAAAGTCATTATTTGATCCGCAGTCCTGTTTCCAATAATAATTTTAATGATATTTTTATTTGTCTAATCATGGGCGTTAATAGGTTAATCATTTTGAACAAAAACAAAAGGTCATTATATAAAAATCTATTCTCAATTTTAGGTAAGTTCAGCTGTGTTAAAGTGTTTAATGTTAAAGTGATATTAAAGTAATATATACTTTACAGATGCTATTTTGCATTAAGACATGTAACAAAAAATTTTTTATGAACAAATTAATTTTTTTTAAATTTAGTCAGGATTTAAAAAAAAATTTTAAATTTATTTATATTTTATAATATAGAGGAGATTTTTCAAAAAGTCCCAAATTGTCCCTGACGAGTTTAATGAGTTTTACAAAATTGTATAATCAAATCCAACTTTTGTAATTTCGTTTTTTAATGTTTATTTCAAAAATTACTTGCAATTTTCGAGAATATTCTTTATCATCATGGAATCCCCTAATTATCATAATAAATCAGAACTAAATATCTCTAATTATTTAGAAGTGAGACGACATGCGGGAAAACACTTTTGGGGGGCGATTTTTCCGAATGCCCTTAAACATAAACATTCTATCAACAAAACAATTTTGGGGTGGTCGTCTACCCCAGTTGTATTTCTACGTATGAGTCAGCTATGTTGTACTGTCTAGGGTTAAGACCTGCGAGATCCAAAAGAATCTTAGTATAACAATTAAGGAGGGACTAAAAAGTCTAAAATCGCTCATTCAGGAGGTGAGAGAAAGGCATGATGAAGCGAAGAGGACGGATGAACGTCTCTATCAAGGATTGGTCTGGTCAGAGGAGGCTCGACAAGACCGTAGACTTACAAGAGATAGATTCAATGCAAGTGCATTAAAAAACGATCCTATGGTTTCATATAAAATAAGATTAAGCAGTCCTGAAGCGTCGAAGGACCTTCAGAAGAAGAAGAAGGAAATGAAACCTCCTAAACTGTCTGCACGTAAGGTTGACAGGGATTCTAACGTAAACCAAGACAGGAAGTACCTAGGTTGCCCCTCGATCAGCTATGGATGTAAAGGTGGCTAAGGGTGTTAGTTATTCTGATGTCTTAGGAAAGCTCAAAAGAGAGGCTGCACCTGTTTCCAGCCAGACAAGAGTGGTGAGGGCAATGCCCACAAAGAAAGGTGACCTTTTTTTAAAAATTTAAGGCTCACTAGGGAAAAAGAACTTCACCGAGGAGGTGACAAGGATTGTGGGTGAGCTTGGTAAGTTGCAGATACACAGGACCT